CATTTAATCCATTTTCAATGATTAAACTTTAATTTCTAATACTAAAAATGATATACTAAAATACATGAATCATGAATTTGATATTTGCAACAACACTCTGTACTTGCCTGCACGACTGCAGCTCCAGTAACACTCGATGAGCTCAATGCATTCTATGCTCGCTTTGAACAGGTCAGTGAAATGATGTCACCTATCCCAACAGCCCTCAGATGCACCTGTACCCATGGTCACTACCGCAGATGTTAGATCAGCCTTCTTGAGAATGAACCCATAGAAAGCAACTGACCTGAATGGAATCCCTGGCCGTGCACTCAGATCCTGTGTGGACCAGCTGGCGGGAGTATTCACAAACATCTTTAACCTCTCCTTGGTCGATCTTAAGTCCCCACCTGCTTCAACAAGACCACCATCATCCCGGTGCCAAAAAAAAATCATGCAGTGTTCCTCAATGACCACTGCCCAGGGGCTCTGACCTCCGTAATTATGAAGTGCTTTAAGAGGTCAGTCATAGCTCACATTGACTCCAGCCTCTCAGATTACCTTGATCCTTTACAATTCACCTACCGGTGCAACAAGTCCATGGCACATGCCATCTCCCTGGCCCTACACTCATCTTTGGAACATCTGGATAACAAGGATATCTACGTCAGGCTCTGACTTATTCACTACAGCTCTGCCTTGAATACCATAATACCAAACAAACTCATCTTCAAACTCTAAGACCCTGATCTTGGCACCCCCTCTGTAACTGGGTCCTTGACTTCCTGACCCATAAACCACAATCAGTCAGAATAGGTGACAACACCTCCTCCACTATAATCCTCAACACTAGTACCCTGCAAGGCTACATGCTCAGTCCCCCACTGTACTCCTTATACACTCATGGCTGTGTGGCCAAATTCCACCCCAGCTCCATTTACAAGTTTGCTGATGACACCACTGTTTTAGGCCGGATTTCAAACAACAACGAGACGGAGTACAGGAAGGAGATAGAGTGCTGAGCAGCATGGTGTAAAGTCAACAATCTCTCCATCAACATCAGCAAAATTAAAGAGCTGGTAATCAACTTCAGGAAGTGGAGCAGAGGGCACACCCTGTCTGCATCAACGGTGCTGAGGATGAAATGGTCAAGTTCCTGGGAGTGACGATCACTAACAATCTGTCCTGTCCACCCATGTGGATACAATGGTCAAGAAAGCACAACAATGTCTCTACTTCCTCAGGAGGCTAAGGAAATTTGGCATGTCCACTGCCTCGGGAAAGCAACCAACATAATCAAAGATCCCTCCTACCCCATTATACTCTTTTTCACCCTCTTCCATTGGGCAGAAAATACACAAGTTTGAATAAACGTCCGAGCAGATTCAAGAACGGCTTCTTCCCCGCTGTTATCAGACTTTTGAATGGACCTCTCAAATGTTAATTCTAATCTCTCTCTCTACACCTTTTCTTCGGCTGTAACACTGTATTCTGCAATCTGTTCCGCTACCCTGATGCACTTTGTATGGTACAATCTGCCTGTATAGCATTCAAAACAACATTTTTCACTGTATCTCGGTACATGTGACAATAATAAATCAAATCAAATCAAGAGTTTTTATGGGGACAAAGCGGTCCCCATCCATCATTTTAACATTCTTACCATCAACCACTGATACAGTTTGTCAGTATTTGCTATACGTAAGAAGCAGTGCATCAGATTTCTTAGACTGTACCTTCCAAACCTGTGCCATATACCACCTAAAAGGACAAGGGCAACAGATGCACGGGAGCATCACCTTGTACAGGTTCCCTTCCCATGGGTCTATTCCCTTGCTAACAATATTAGTGTTCAAAAGTCACAAGTACTGCAGCATTCACAAAAGCAGCTCATCTACCTGCACAAGGACAATTATACAAATGCTGCTTTGCCAATGATATTCACATCCCACAAACAAATAAACAACATCAAAATTGTTGTTGAGTGATTTACATTACTCTGCCATTAGACTTGCCAAACATGAGCTCACTGCCAGCATCCCCATGAGTATCAGAAAACAGTTAGCTTTGTACCATAAACATGAATGTATCTCATTGCAAACATTGAGGACTGATAATTCATGTTGCAAAGATCCTGTCAATTACGTCATTTAAGTCCTGAAAATGAAATCCCAACCTGCAGTCCTGAAATGGGGAATAATTTAAACTGTCAAATCTCACTTCAGCAGGGAGTAAGATGTTCATAAGGGTTTTTTTGGATTAAATTTTTAATTTTTAACATTTTGACCTGCTTTTCTCAATTTCTTTCCATTTTTTATTTCTCTTTTTGTATCCAATTTGACTCTATTTCACCTTATTCCCATTTTTGCTTTGCTCCTTTCTCTATCCCTAATTTTAATTCATTTACCAAATGGATCACTAGATTTTATGTTCAGGTGGTCCCGTTGACCTTATTTGGGTTGTTATCGGCTAGAATTTACAACAATTTGTGACCAAACTAATGCTGTCACTGGTCACAGTTTGAAGTGCACCCCTTACCATTTTTTACTTTGGTAGATACGACTTCTTTCTCAGAGTAAGAAATCATCACAGGGGAATTAAAGAGGACTGAGAATGGAAAGGACTACTTCTACCTGTCATCAATTTAAGTAAGTCCCTGTAAGGGCCTCATGCCCTTAGAGATATGATATTTGTAAAACTTCTTAATATTTTCTGTACCTATTAAAGTTAACAAAACTAACCATTCAACCTTAATATTTGAAGCTTGTGGTCATCATTATGTATTTGTGGTGGGGGTACTGACTGATGGCGGTGAGGTCAGGGTTGTCAGGGGTGAGCATTGCCGTGAGAGGACAGGAGAGTTATTGGAAGAAGGAATGATGGGAAGGAACACTTGCAGCTGCTGGGAAAGATGAGTGACCTTTGTTGGGAGGCGTGATTGAGGGAGATAAATGTTGTCAGGGGGATGCAGTTTCTCGAGTGCATGGGGAGAGTATTGCTGGAGATGAACATTACTAGGAGTGGAGGAAGCAGTGCGTTGTTGCAAGAGTTGTCATGACAAGAGAATGGGGAGGTGGTCAGCGCTGTGAATGTTAATAAGAGTGTAGAGTAGAGGGAGCATTAGCAGCGATGTGGGGGATAAGCAATGTCAGGAGGAGATCGGGGATCTAAGCATTATGGATGATACTGTATGGAGCGAGCAATGTCAGGAGAGATGCGAGGTGTGAATATTGTTTAGGGTGGGGAAGTGAGCATTGTTGAGGATGTGGGGGTCTATTAGAGGGTGGGTAGGTTATGAGGCCATCAGCAGCAGCGGTACCTGCCGTTGACCATTGTCCTTTGCCTCAGATTAGCAGCAGGACAGTCCCAGGATAAATATCCAGGTAGGTGCAGGCATAAAGCCCAAATCTCCACCTCTGAGAATCCCTACAGGGTGGAAAGAGATCATTCAGCCCATCATGTCCATACCAACTCTCAGAAGAGCATCACATCCGGGCCCAGTCCCCCATCCTATTCCCATAATCCCACATCTCCTATGGCTAAATCACCTAGCCTGCACATCCCCAGACACTACGGGGCAATTTAGCATGCCATTCCATCTTTGGACTGTGGGAGGAAACCAGAGCACCCAGGGGAAACCCACGCAGACACAGGGAGAATGTGCAAACTCCACACAGACAGTCAGCTAAGGCTGGAATCAAACCTAGGTCGCTGGCATTGTGAGGCTGCAGTGCTAACCACTGTGCCACTATGCCAACTTAAAGTCAAGGTCTGAGACATTCTTGGAACACCCTTGTCAGTGTAATTTTGCCCATTGAAAGCTTATCTTTCCTGAATTAATACTGTACAAGTCAGTTCTCCTTCACAAACTGCATTGCAACAGCAATGAACATCTGAACATTCACATCTATTGCCATTGTAAGATTGAGGCCAATGGCTGATATTTTGCAGTCAAGAGTGAAGCAGTAGCCCATGTTCCTCATCTTGAATAAAGTTCTTTGTAAGATCTTCCTGCCTCAATATTGAAAACTTCACCTCTGTCCTTGTGTTATTGACTGGAGCTTGGTATGTTTGGGGAGGGCTCAGCCATAAGGCCAGAGGCCTAGCAATATCTGACATACCAGCAACTATAGGGCCTTCCTCTTATTTACAGGTACTTGTCCTGAAATCGGAAATTGTGGTCAAATTCAGAAGGGTGATGACGACATTAAAAAAATACCCTATGAATTCTGACTCTAACTCAAGTGGTGTAAAAATGACCAATTCACAGAACTTACCATGAGATATTTCATTCATTCATTTCTGTTCCTCTGTTTTCCTGATATTTATGACCTGACTTTGACGACAGATACCTAGCTTCCCAGAGGACAACAGAAATGTCAGCTTTGGCAAGGCAAACAATGCAGAGTGAGGTGGAAAATGTGTATCTCACACTCTGTAACTCCTTGACTCTCCAACTTATTGGACTCTTTGTTACCAACGAATATAGAAAAGAGTGAAATAGGAGCAGGAGTAGGCCATTCGGCCCTTCGATCCTGTGCCTCATTTCAATATGATCATGGCTGAGGGAGCAGTTTCTGACTATTCCTCCACCCCCAAAAATACTTTATTTATAAAATTTGTAAAGAAAACACAAAACATTCCATTCCAATATTACAGAACTTGCAAGGAACTTGTAAAAGGTAAAGTCGCCATAGTCCCAGAAGACTACAGGGGCTGCTCTCTCATTCGAGAGAGAAGACTTGCTGGTCGGTTTAAACAGTGGGCGTGCTGCATCCTACACCATTGCAAAATTCTAACGGTGCTGCAGGCCGAGAGTGACCCAACAGGATCGGTAAAAGAAGCGAGCTTGCAGAAGGGGCTGAATCTGAAGATGTGGCGTTTTTTTTCATTCATTCGTCAGCGCCAACAGCAGTAATGCCCGCCCTCTTGGCTCAGAGCTGCGGCTGCAGTGTGTGTGTGTGTATGGGGATGATAAAGGACGGCCGTACTGTAAACCCCCGTTGTCCTCTGAATCCCATTTCTTCGGGAACGGGGCAGTCGAATACCCTGTGATCATCCGCTCGCTGTCCTGAGTTAATAATAGCAAGCGTTGTCAGCTGCTTCCCCTCATCTCCTTCCCCTACTCTTAGAATAGCGCCTCCAGCAGCCTGCTTCCTCTGCACAGACGACAAATCCTGCAAATGGAAGGTTTTTAAGCCAAGACTCTCTCCACCGCAAGGGACTGTATTTTTTTGGGGGGGGTAGCACGCTTTTATAACGACTGACATGTAAGTGGATGATTTTATTTCCGCTCTGATATATCCTCTTCCCGCACCAAAAGTCCCAGATTGGACATTTGTCGCTTTTTTAAAAAAGTGATATTTTTCAGATATGTCTCGGGCAGTTTGTGCAATTATTAGGGAGAATTCTGCGGCAGATGGGGTTACAAAGAGTGTCAAAATCGGCTGAGGGAGAGCTATCACCAGTGGTTCAGTATATTTCTCTCTGTGCGTGTGTGTGAGAGAGAAAGGGACTGTTTATTGTGGGAGTGAGTCCCGCTCTGTGCTGTATGAACGGCATTGTCCAACAATCTGTTTATTGGACAATCAGCAGGCGGGCCCATTGTGAGTCCCGCCTTTATACACTTTTTTTTGCCACAGAGTTCACTCTGATTCTTATTATACGGCGTTATTTGTTTGCCTAGGAGCGGTGCAGATGCTGAAATGATCTGACAAGTGGAGCAGTGTAAGTTTATGTTTTGCTTGTCTGTGTTTTCTGTTTTGCTTACCTGCTACTGACGGCTAGATATCTCCCTCCCTTCCCCATCTGCTTCTATTGTTTGTTCCTGACCCACCCATTGTCTGAGATTGACTCACTGGCCGAACTGAACAGCAGTTGTCAAGTTGGAGGCAAAGGTGGGGGTGGTGACTGGTGCTAACCAGGGCTCTAACAGACTGTGTATGTTTGGAGTCCTGAGTCAGGCAATATCAACACGCAATATTATTGTCTGCTCAGCTTTAAAGGGGCTCAAAAAGCTCTTTATTTCCACGTTGTTTAAACAAAAAAAAACTATTCTATGTTATACAATGTCGACTAACAGATCTCAGCATTGCCTAAACTACGGGTCGTAGAATGGCAAGTTCGGCTTCGTGGTTTTGAAACAGAGAAAAAGGTTTTCAAAAGATTAATGTGGTTGAGTCTACATTCGAAGGTTCACAAACACTGGTACTCAGGATCCAATGCTCTAACCTAGGCATTTACATTCAGAAGTATAATATATGCAATCTGTATATGTACAATTTTTTTTTAAAAATCAAAAATTTATTTTAAAATTCAGAACATACAATATGTGCAATTAAAAAACGATTTAAATATTTATTTAAAAGTCCAGAGCATACAATATATGCAATCTGAATATGTGCAATTTTTAAAAAAATTATTCAAAAAATGATTTAAAAATCCAAAACGTACAATATGTGCAATCTGAATATATGCAATTTTTTTTAAATAAAAGAAAATTAAAAATCCCGAATACACAGTATGTGCAATCTGAATATGTACAAAAAATTTAAAAAAATTGTTTAAAACTTTCATGAAAAATGCTCAGTATTTCTGGAATCTTGGATCTTCAGGAGCCTATAGTTCCTCTGGAATGCTGGACTGAAGGATAGGGAGCAGCTTATTAGAACAGAACAGAACAAAGGAGATGGGGAAGGGGCGTGGGATACAGCGCTAGGGAAAATAAAAAGAAATGAATTTCCCAAGAAATGCTTCAGTGGCAGTTAGGAGGGGTTTACATGACAGGAGCAGGCGAAAGAAGGGCCAGAGCAGCTGGAGGAGACACAGAATAGGAGAATAGTGCAAGATTGATAGGGCAGTTGAAATGGTAAGAGCGAGAGAGATTTGATTCGGGCGTGAGGGCAGAACCAATGTGCTCATCCTAACAATCTCTGAATTTGTGTATGCTGTACAGGAGATCACTGTCTACAGGATCTGCCATGTTCCAGACTGGAGGAAATCATGGTAGGCAGGCAGATATTATAGATCCTTTTACCCGCATGGGAGGGCGCCAGGGCTACAACAAAAGCTGGGATGGAAGAATGATGTAGAAATCGCATTGGAACCGCTGATATTTGAATGCTGGCGCTGTAAATGCAGGAGATAACGGAAGAAGGTTGGCTGAATGCAAAGTTTGGTGGGGTAGAAGATTTCTTCTTGCGGTCCCCTCCTCCCATCCCACTGTCTACTAACCAAAATACTCCGATTGTGTGAGAAGGCTGTCAGTATTTCAAAGTGTCAGAACATAAGTATGAGGAGCAAGGGTGGACAATATGTCTGTTTAAAAATCAGGCTGTCGCCCAATTTAAAACACATACTGGGTGCTAGAATCTTGAGTCCTTGAACAAGGCAGAGGTAGATTTTTGTTAAGGCACAGAAGGATATCGGGGTAAGCGGGAATATACATTTTGAGGTTATAATCAAAGCCTGAGTGTTTTGTACTTTGCTCCACCTTCTTGTCTGCTCTTTCTATCCCTTAGAATCCCTACATTGTGGAAGCAGGCCATTCAGCCCATTGAGCCTACACCCACCCTCTGAAGAGCACCCCACCCAGACCCATCCCCTAACCTATTCCTGTAACCCTGCATTTCCCACAGCCAATCCACCTAGCCTGCACATCCCTGGACACTGTGGGCAACTTAGCATGGCCAATTCTCCTAATCTGCACATCCTTGGACTGTGGGAGGAAACCAGAGCACCCAGAGGAAACTCACGCAGACACAGAGAGAATGTACAAACTCCACACAGACAGTCACCCGAGGGTGGAATCAAACCTGGGTCCCAGGAATTGGGACGTAGCAATGCTAGCTGCTGTGCTGCCTGTTCTTTGAAAGTCCAATGATCTGTTTATTTCAGCTCTAAATATATTCAATAATCCACAATCCCTGGGGTAAAGATTCCCAAAGATTCCAGCCCTTTGACTGAAGACTTTCTCCTCATCTCAGTCCTAAATATTTGGCCCCTCATTCTCAAACTTATTCTAGATTCCCTAACTGGGCAACAACATCTCAGTATCTACTTGGCTAAATCCCTTCATCATCATGAAAATTCCTGTGAGATCACCTCTCCATTCTTCTAAACTCACACCAAGGGGCAGTGCTCTCAATCCAGGGTCCAGTTTAGTGATCTTATGCTGTCCCCAATCCAAGTATTGTCTTCCCTTAAATACTGGAGACCAAAATTGGACACAAATTCCGAATAGTCTGACCATAGAAAGATGTTGTTCATCTTCTCTTTCAATCCAATTGTAATTTTAAAAAAAACATGTGATTTGTGTTCCAAATGGCTTGCTATACTTGCATTCTGGTTTTTTAGTTGCTTGAACAAATGCACACATGACTATCTGGACATCAACTGTTACAATTTTTATGCATTTGGAAATTGACATAATTATACTCAATTTGTCATCTTGTCCACATGCTTAATATATATCTATTTGTGTCCTTGTCAGACTTTCCTTTTCAAACTATACTTGTAGCATCAGTCAATACATTACTCTCTGCCTCTTTGGATAAGTCACTAATATTGTCACAACTATACCACATGTGCCCATAAAGTGGTCATAATCTGCGAATGATTGTTGCTAATTTGGTCCCCTTTTCATTTTTCAAGAGTTCCAATTTAAAAACCACCTACAGCAACGCTTTAGTCTTTAAAAATGATCAAAGGTCACTTTATTACACAACTACCGCTGAATGTTACTAAGTAAAAAGTGATCCATTTATTCACTCTAAAAGAGGTACAAAGATTAAAAGTAGGTGTGTGTAAAAGTTGCTTGTAAAGGTGAACATAAAATCAGCCTATTATCATTGCAAGCCTGGTTTGATAGAAAATTTCTCTCTCCAAGGTGAAAGGGTTGCAAATTTGAGGTCAGGATTCAGCAGCCTCAATATCTTCTGTATTTGAACAGGTTTCTGTCAGAGGCTCTGGGTGGGAGAGAATACTTCTTTTATTTTGCCTCGAAGGCATCCAGATTGGTAGACTATTTCAGTACAGCAGATCTTAGGTGGTTTGTGATTTTCCATCTTCCCACCCAAGCCCCTTTCTCTCTGATATTAAGCCTCTGAGTTCTTCTTGGAGTTCTGACAAAATGGTGTCTCACGTGTGATTGTCTTTATCACAACCAAAGCAAAATGGCTGCTAAGTTAACCTTCATAGCGTTGTTCCACAAAACAAAGTAAATTACACTGCAAAGATAGTAAGCACTGCAGATGCTGGAGTCAGAGATAACACAGCGTGGAGCTGGAGGAATACAGCAGGCCAGGTAGAATCAGAGGAGCAGGAAAGCTGATGTTTCGCATCAGGACCCTCCTTCAGAAAGGTCTTCATTTTCTGAAGAAGCATCCCGACCCGAAACGTCAACTTTCCTGTTCCTCTGACGCAGCCTGGCCTGCTGTGTTCCTTCAGCTCCCCACTGTGTTAATTACACTGTAGTTCCCACATGTGTATAAATACTTTTAAGACCAAATACGTACCAAATTATAATAGAATATGATACAACGTTAACTCAGTGAAACTCACAGATTCCCCAAGTGTCAAATATGGTTCAGTGGCAGCGCTCTCGGCTCATGAGCTAGAGGTTGTGGGGTTAAATCCAACCCTCTAGACTTGAGTACATAACCCTGGGTGTCACTTGAAGGAACGCTGCATCACTAGAATTGCAAACCTTTCGATGAAAGATGAAACCTCTCTGTTGGATGCAAAAGATACTGGGGTGCTATTCACAGAAGAGCAGGAGAGTTCTCAGCTCCCCTGGTCTACATTTATCCCTCATTCAATACCTAAAACACACTAGAAATGGAGATTTTTTTTAATCATTAGGGGGAGATGGGCATCGCTGGCTGGCCAGCATTTGTTGTCTGCCTGTAGTTGCCCTTGAACGGAGTGGCTTGGTAGACCATTTCAGAGGGAAGTTGAAAGTCAAGCATATTGCTGTGAGTTTAGAGTCACCTGTAGGCCAGACCAGGTGAGATGGAAGACTTCCTTCCTTGAAGGACAGTAGTGAGCCAGATGAGGTTTTCCAACAATTGACAATGGTTTCATGGTCATCAGTAGATTCTTAAATCCAAATTTTTTGAAAATTAAATTCAAATTCCAAAACATGCTGTTGGCAGGATTATGAACCTGGGACATGAGCTAGAGTTTCTGTATTAATCGTCTAGTGATAATACCATTGGGCCATCACCTCTAAGGATCGAGGCTGTGTGGAATTCAGTAGAGCCATGAGAACAAGATCAAATTTACTGGAGCGTAAGTGATAACAGAACTTTCTTTATGAAGGTTGAAAATGATGTATTGTGTTTGAGATGATGACGAGGCACTAGAAAATCAGAAGATTATTTATAGTAGCTGCCATAAGCAAGGCTTCCATTATCAGATGGATCAACTTTAAAAGGAATTTTGAAAAACACATCAGACTTGATCTTTCTGAAGCAGGGCATCTTGCAGCATATGGAGTTACCGATTTTTTTTTTTATTAATAATTATAGTTTTTGAAGCCGTTTCCTGGCCATTATATACAAACAATGAAGAGCAGGATATTCTAAATAGTCAAACATACTTCTGATACTTTGAGGGAATGGTGTGTTTATGGGCTGAGTACCAATCACCATTAGGTTCTGCATCAAAAATAATTGTCTACTCATTCTCCTGCCTCTGCTATTCACACAAAGCTATTCACACTTCATTTTACAAATGAAGTCAGCAGCTTTGTGTTCTGCTAACTATATCTTCAACCCTGTTATTTCTGTCTCTCTACGTTCCTAGTCCTGGAATTGTTTTCTTTTTTGATGGAATTAGTTGACAGCTTTTGATAAGAGTTTCCTTCCTGTATTCTGCATGGTGTAGTTGGGGAAAAAAAAATTCTCCAGTATCCAATGTGCAGCTTAAAGACTAGTTTAAACTTTCATGTCACTCAATGTTTTCTTAGCAACAGTTCCCCTTAGTGGCCTTAAAGGCACACATTGTGCAGCATATTGTCTTCATTAAACAGTCTATAGTACAATGCACAGTGAGAATCCTATATCTGTCCATTTCCATGGTCTGTATTATAGCTCACCAAGGAGCAGAGAGGAGATGTGGAGTGAATTGCAGCAAAAACTTTACCTATTGACTGGGGAAATAACTGTGTAATGAGCAAAGAGGGACAGGAACTCCTGAAATATGTTCATTTCTGGTCTCCCTGCTATAGGAAAGATGTTGTGAAACTGGAAAGGGTTCAGAAAAGATCTACAAAGACGTTGCTGCGATTGGAGGGTTTGAGCTATAGGGAGAGGCTGAATAGGGGCTGAGGCTATTTTCCCTGGAGCATAGGAGGGTGAAGAGTGACCTTAGAGAGGTTTATGAAATTATGAGGGGCATGGATAGGATGAATTGCCAAGACCTTTTTACCCAAGATGGGGGAGTCCAAAACTAGAGGGCATAGGTTTAAGATGAGAGGGGAAAGATTTAAAAGGGACCTGAGGGGCAAATGGAGTATATTTCTGTGGGGTGCATTTTGGACACAGTGGTCATTTTGTTGCTAGGTAAAGTAGCTATGGAAAGTACAAATGTGGAAATATTCAGCTGGGAGGAAGGTGAATTTTATTGAGTTGGAAAGGGATCTGGATTGAAATTGAAAATGATCAGGTTAAGCAGTAAGTGAGCAGTAAGGTGGTCTTCAAAGAGGATCAGATTGTGAGTGCATGACTTTAGGATGTCAAGGCCTTAAAGCGGGAGCAGAAGACATCTACTAGCATGCAATCGGGGATGAGGATCTTCAGTGTGCAGACACTGGAGAAACTGGTCTCCGTGCAACAGAGAAGGTTAACCAGAAATCTGCTCGATGTGTCCAAAGCAATGAAGTAAATAAGGAGAAACAATTTCCAGTGGCAGGTGTGTCACTAACCAGAAGACATAGAATTCAGGTAGACAAAAGAACACAAGGTAACAGGAAAGAGCAATGAAGATAAAGAAGTTCTTTGTTATGATTTGGAAAAAAAATTGGGTCGTTTATTCACAGCATGAAAATGGACATGATCAGCAAATTTGGTTGCTTTTTGTGCTGCATTATTTCAAAATTCAATGAAATAAAAAAAAGGTAATTCAAATTGCAACAATAAAGTGGGAAGTGATAGCCTAGTGGTATTATTGCTGGATTATTCATCCAGAGATCCAGGTAAAAATGTTCTGGGAACCTGTGTTCAAATCCCATTATGGCAGATGGTGAGATTTGAATTAGATAACAAATCTGGAATTAAGAGTCTAATGATGACCGTGACAACTGTTGCCAGTCACCAGGAAAAGCCCACCTGGTTCTCTAATGTCCTTTAGGGAAGAAAACTGCCATCCTCACCCAGTCTGGCCTGTGTATGACTCCAGACCCAAAGTAATGTGGCTGACTTTTAACTGCCCCTTGGGCAATTCGTGATGGGCAATAAATACTGGCCCAGCCAGCAATGTTCACATCCCATGGATGAATAAAAAACAACATATACAGTGGAAAACAGAGGGGTGAATGCTTTTTACACCTCACTTTTTTTTCAAACTGTTCACTGTTGGGAGTGGATAGAATCACATCACAATTTTGTTTAATTAATTTTCAGCCAATTTAGTACCAGGTATTTGGTTCATACCTTGACTGCCAAATGAAAATACGGCTTTGTTACTTCCTAGCTGAATTGACTGAAGGCCAAACCATGGTTCCCAGGCAGTCACACAATTTCGCCTGGGACTCCGCGACTCCTCATTGTTGAGCCAACGCAGCTTTGATAGTTCAATAGCGAGAATGTCAGGAAGTGAGAGGAAATAAAGCTCCTAACAGCTGGTGCACTGCTAAAGCCAGCAGTGAGAAGCCTCCTCCTAATGTAGACTTGTCAGGACAGAAGCAGATTTTAAATTTAGATCACTTGGACCGCAGTTAAATGTAAATCAGCTCACCTCTTATTGGAACATGTGTTTTTCTTAACTGGTTTAGTGACTGCATACTGTTTGTGCCACTCTAGATCTCTCCTCTTTCAAGACATTATTTTTGGCCCACATTTTTGGTCACCTAACGTAATAGTGTCAAATTTTTACATCTAATGTAAAGCACAGAAAAAGCAGGCCATTTGACCCAACCAGTCCATCCTAGCGTTTCTGCAGCACTTAAATGTTTTCTCTGGAGGTGACGGTGGTGCCGTGATAATGTCAGTGGCTTAGTACCCAAGCTTATGCTCTGGGAATACAGGTTCAAACCCTACCACATAGGAGCAAATTACTGCAGATGCTGGAATCTGTACTGAAAACAAAAAAATGCTGGAAATTGCAGTGGATCAGGCTGCATCCATGGAGAGAGAGCAAGCTAATGCTTCGAGTCTGGATGACTCTTTATCTAGAGTAACTGGTGGGATTTATGTTCAATTAATGAATAAATCTGGAATTAATAGCTAGTCTAAGTGATGATGACTATGATACTACCATTGATTGCTGCAAGAAAACCCATCTGCCTCACTGATACCCTTTTAGAGAAAGAAATCTGCTGTCCTTATCTGGTCTGGCCTCCATGTGATTCCAACTTTGCAGCAATGCAATTGAACTTTAAATGCCCTCTGAAATAGACTTGCAAGCTGCTTAATTCAAGGGCAATTAAGGATGGGTAATAAATGCTGACCTTGTTCTTGACATGCACATCCCATGAAAGATTAAAGAAAAAAAGAATGCTCCTGTGAAGGGCCTTGAGCTGTTTTGCTACACCAAAGGTGCTGTATTAATTGTTGTTGTAAAATACAACTCAGCAAAACTCAGCCAGGCAAAGGGATTATCTTTTGATAATGTACATTTGTACATGTTGTGAGGGAGTGACCTGCCAATACTTGAAGTACTTGAGAATATGGTGTTGCATAAAGACAGAAGGATTAGACCACAATCCACAATGCATTATCCTGCTAGTAAGACAGAGCTGGCCATGATTTGACATGGGGACTGTCTTCTCTTACACTGTAACTTCAGTGAGCCCCTGCAGGGAAAGAGCATGGAGGACCACTTTCAATCTTTTGTGTCAGTGCTATGGGAAGTTAGCCATCCCCAGAGGATTTCGAGGGTCAACCGTGTACATTCCTTTCAAAACTATGAAGTCTATTTGCTCTAGAGTTCCCATTTTGCTGTCAGTTACAGAATGAAACCTGTGTTGTGCAACTGCTGAAGTAAGGTCAGAGAAGTTAACTGTCTTTCTCTCTCCGCAAATGCCTGCTGAGTTATTTCAGATTTCCAGCATCTGCGGAATTTTGCTTTTGCAAAAGACAATGAGTTGTCTCATTATTTCAAAGTGATCAGGAATGATTTCTGAAACTGACGCTAAGCCATTTTTGTCAGGCAGTCAATTTCAGCCTCTGAAAGAGTGTTACCGATTCCAATCATGCAGTGTTCCCACAGCAATCTTTGCAAGATATTGACCAGTGCAGTCCCTGATTCAGAATGGGTCAATGACTGTCTGGAGATATACTTGTGTTGGCAGGCCATAAAATTCCAGTTATAATCTCCGTGGACCTCACTAAGATTAATGTGTAATCCGACACGAGACTATCTGGCTTTCCGGGCCAACGGAGGAAGCCTTTTATGTGTTTTTAAAATATTTTTAATTTTAATCTTGGATTCAGGTCATAGTTTCTAACTCCTTTTAAAATGGCCAGTTCCTTGGGCAGGAAGGGAGGTGTCAAGTTAAAGTGGCTGATGACTTAATTCCACAGAGGAAGTGATTTCATTTCTTTTCTTCCATTTGTGCAGAAAGGTAGATCGAGGTTAAAGTTTCGCTTCCCAACATACTGCCTCCTGGCCTCGGCGATGGTGCTCGATCCAGCAGCTCAGGCCTTGGCTGGGCCTCAGAAGAGCAAAAGGTCAGGCACGGCCAAAGTGCTCAAGAAAGCAGCTGAGCGAAAGAATGGCGAGAAGAACGGGGTCCTGTCGCAGAGTAGCCCCGCTGCCCCGCAGGCGGAGGGGCCTTTAAGGACTGCGTCACTGACGTCGGGGACGCTCACTTGCAGCTTGAAGGTTAACCGGGTCCTCGCAGCAGCAGGATCGAGCCCTGTCGGTAATGGACACTGCAGGTGGATGAGGCGGAGCGAGAGCTCCTACAGTGTAAACAGCACAGGCTCCGATTGCCCCAGGACCCGGATCAGGAGCGCCACGTCTCTCCCGCACATAGCCAGGTATAACGCCCGGGAGCCACCGCCCGTTAAAAGCCCCTGCCTCTTGGTGGCGCTGCGACCAACAAACGTTGACAAAGAGAAAGAGCTGTTCTTCCAGTCTAAGTATGCCTACAATCCTCAGTTTGAGTACTCCGAGCCCCTCAGCAGCAGCATCATGAGCAAGTACAGTGTGGCCTCTGACCGCTTCATTGAACAGGTAAGAGCTTCTTCTGAAGTGACTGGACTCCATTACTTCCACACTTGTCTCTCAGCCCAATCCATGCCTCTAGTTTTGGACTCCCCTACCCTAGCGAAAACGATCTTGTCTATTCACCGTATCCATGCCCCTCATGGTTTTATCAACCTCCATAAGGAGCCTCTGATGCTTTCCATGCATTTTAGCTCATTGACAAATCCTGCTGCTCACTCCCTGACTCACACCAGGTCCCATTCACCCTTTGACCTTGCTCTCACTCACCCGCATTGACTCCAGGTCTGTCGACATCATAACTTTCAAATTCTCATCCTTGTGTTCAATCCCTCTACAAATTTTACCAAGTATTAGAGATTTACAGCATGGAAACAGACCCCTCAGTCCAACTCTTCCATGCTAATCAGATATCCTAAATTAATCTTGTCCCACTTGCCAGCATTTGGTGTATATCGCTCTAAACCTTTCCTGTTCATGTACCCATCCAGATGCCTTTTAAATGTTGTAATTGGATCAGCTTCCATCACTTCCTCTGACAACTCATTCCATACACACACCACCCTCTGTATGAAAAAGTTGTCCCTTAGGTCCATTTTAAAACTTTCCCCTCTCACCTTTAACCTATGCCCTCCTGTTTTGAACTCCCCTACCCTGGGGAAAAGACCTCAGCTATTCACCCTATCCATGCCCCTCATGATTTAATAAACCTCTATAAGGTCACCTCTCAGCCTCTGATGCTCCAGGAAAAATAGCCCCGGCCTATTCAGCCTCTCCCTATAGCTCAAACCCTCCAACCCCGTCACCATCCTTGTAAATCTTTTCTGCACCATTTCAAGTTTCACAACATCTTTCTTATAGCAAGGAGACCAGAATTGAACGCAGTATTCCAAAAATGGCCAAACCAATGTCCTGTACAGCCGCAACGTGACCTCCCAACTCTTATACTCAATGCACTGACCAATAAAGGTAAGCGTACCAAATGCCTTCTTCAGTGCCCTGTCTACCTGTGATTCAACCTTGAATGCTCCCAATCTCTCTACCCTCCTCCAGTTCAATCTGATCTTTGATCTTTCCCGAATGTGGATTCTTGTGCGCCTCCAAATTCCACCGCTCCACCATTCAGATTGAGCCAAATTCCCTCCCTAAGCCTTGCCCTGTCTCCTCTTTTAAGACTTTTCTTCCAACCTACCTGTTGTTTTACTCACCTGTCTTAATAGAGCTTCACAAAGCCCTGTTTGTAATTCTGATGAAGACCCAAAACATTAGCTTTGCTTTCTGTCCACAGACGCTGCCAGACCTGCAGAGTTTCTCCAGCTATTCCTATTTTCAGTTTCAGATCTGCAGCAGCTGTAGTTCTTTTCTTTTTTTTTCGTTGATCTGGTGAAGCACCTTTGAAAGTTTTACTGCGTAGGAACAGGATTAGGCCACTTAGCCTATCAAGCCTGCCTTGCCATTCAGTACAATCACAGCTGACAGAGCATTGCAATGCCTTTTATTCACTCCATTCCCGTAATCTTGTAGGCCACTGTTAGTCAGAAATTTATCAGTTCCTACCTTAAGCATACTCAAAATGAGCTTCCACAGCCCTCTGTAATGGAGATTGCAATGCAGGCACTACATAAATGCATTTTGTTCTTTTAGTGGCATGCTTGCCATCAGCTGTGTAAGGACTGTGTGAACACCTCAGGAAAACAAAGTCAACAAAAATAATTCTGATGGCAAAGTGGACGTATAGCACTGTTCGGTATGATACTGATTTCTGCAGGTCAGGAAGATACCAGATTCTGTACTGGTTAGCTGGTCTAAGCCTTGCTGGGTACTGAGTGGAGGGAATGAGTTTCTGATATGGTGTTTACAATTGGGCTACAGTTTTCTGCAGTTTCTGCCTCGCTGTTGGCTTACATTAGTAGCACCATCTCTCCACTATCTTGTGATTCATTTGGACCTGTCAGTCCACAATTTCGCACATGATTCAATTTGACAACTAATTCCAAGCTGCCGAATGTGGAAAACTTTGTACTGCCAGGAGAATTGTATTTGCTGCCTATAGCTAATCGTAGGTTGTGTTTAATGGGTTTCGTTTGTCAATTTCAATTCTTTTTGTGCTGCTCTGAAGGCTGAGTTGCTTTGATGGCAGAAAGATTGAAGTTTACCCTGATGCTGAATAATGCCACATTCAGTCCTTGATTTTTGCCCTGTTCAGAGCACATGACCAGGGTATTGGTGGCACAACTACTAGTGATATCAGTGCCCTTTGCTTTGCTACATAAAGTCTATTAAAAATAACAAATAAACAGCAGAATCAAAGGGCGTAGATTAAGAAAAGACTCTTTTAACAAAACAATATTACCAAGGTAAATTATTGCACGACCTCAGCATTGAAGTGATGGCCCAGATCTTACACTTAATTCAATTCTGCAATTCTGCATGCATGCGCCTCTGTGTGTTTAATGTCTCCTTATATCTTTTACTACCTCTATCCATCTCCATTCTTCCTTTCTTGTATTTTTTGTCTACCTCTTACTTTCTCTCTTCCCCCACTTCCTTTTTCAGTCACAGTCTCTGCCTTAGTCTATATAACCACGAGACCATAAAATCATAAAATGTAAGAGAAGAGGTAGGCCATTCAGCCCATTGAATCTGCTCCACCATTCAGTGAAATCATGGCTGATCTGTAGATGCCTAGTCTTTCTCTTTTCTTTTGCTGCAGATTCCCAGTTTGCCATTCGCCTACTATTGGTATAAGGCCTAAAAATTTAGTTATGATGCCTCTCGTTCTTTGTCGTTTCTCCAAAATGTTTGTCCCCTTTTTGTTTCCCTGTGTATTTGAAAGGGGGGGATGGGCCTTAACTTGACGAATGGTCCAAAAGCTGTCATGTCTGCCTGAACAGCGTGGCCTCCCACAAATGCTTTTAAAAAATGTTTAATTTGTTCACAGGATGTGGATGTTGCCGGCTAGGCCCAGCATTTATTGCCTTCCTATGTTCCCATCCCTAATTGCCCATCAGGCTGTAAGAGTCAACCACATTGCTGTGGGTCTGGAGTCACATGTAGGCCAGACCAAGTAAGGGTGACTGATTTCCTTTCTGCCAAGACATTAGATTTATGACGATCAACAGTGATTTGGTCGCCATTAAGCCAACTTTACCCAGATTTACTTTTATTGAATTCAAAACTGTTGTTCAAATCTCATGTGGGATTTGAACCCATGTCCCCTGAACATTAGACTGGGATTCTTCATTAATTTATCTTGACACCATTGCACATGCTCATTCTGTCAAACAGTGGTGCTAGGCAGAAATCAAGAAGTGGAAATCTTGGCTGATTTTCTTAGCTTCTGAGTTTGAGAATACCATTAGAGTACTCCCCAGCTCCCCCGCAAGTTCAAATTGATTTCACCTACCTCTCCATGACACTGGGATCTACTAGTTGGCAGTGGTCAGTACTGCACCTTTTCCTTGTGCATATTCACTGAGCTGTAGGTAACCAAGGAAAACTATTTAACAGTTTACTGGTGCCTTGTTGGACTCCCATCCTTGGAAGTGCTGAGTAAGAATTCAGGGGTGCTCCACCAGATCAGTACAAACCTGCATAAGTCTCGAGATGGGAAGCTATTAACTAGGGAAGAGTCTGCAGAAGATGCTGTGCAGTAACCAAAACCCCATTCCCTCATCTTTCTTCCAGGCTGTACGAATCATGAAGAGCGTGGTGAAGATGTATGGCAGCTACGAGAACTTCGAGGTGGCCACTGGGGGTGCAATGCTGTCAAAGAGTAAAATATGGACCTGTATCAGAAGTTACATGAGGAAGGAGGGATGCTCTGGAGAGGTGAGGGACATGAAACGTTGATGCGTCTGTGTTGTCATGAAATGTGCATGTCTGTGCTCAATTATCTGACTGTTTCGTGTGTGTGTGTGCGTCTGTGTGTGCGAGTGCATGTTCTGATGTTTCGTTTCCTCTGAGGCCCACAACTTATTTGTTTTTCCAAGCCCCAGTAAATGTGATTCATATTTTGTCGCTGGTGTTTCTCTTCACTGTGATTCCTTCAAATTGGCTACGCTATTTCATCATGTAAAGAATTTTAAGAATTATTTCCTGGCTTGTATTCATCACTGGGTTGCCTATCCTTAATAGGCCTTGAGAAATTCCCAAATTTACATTGTGCTATTTAGGAATGTGCCAAAGCACTGTGCAACCAATGAAGTAGTTTTGAAGTGTTGTAATATTGGAAACGCAGGAGTCTGTTTGCTCATTGCAAAATCCCACTAACAGCAATGAGGTAACCTCCAGATAATCTCATAATTTCTTATTTCATCTTTTAGATGATCTTGATTGAAGGATAAATATTGGTCTGAACCTCTTTACCATTATGAAATATTGGTATTGGATCTTTATGAAAGATAGATCAGATGGGTCCTTTGTCTATCAACTCATTTAAAAGGCAGAAGTGTACCACTCATTCCATAGTGCTCCACTTTGATAACTTTCTCAAATGGATGCAAAAGATCTCTATTTTGAAGAAAAGTGAGGAAGTTTCCACTGGAATCTCATTCAACATGTAGTCCTCAGCCAACATCTGAAAAAGATAACGTGGCCACTATCACATTATTCTTTGCTTTGAACCTTTCCATGTAGAAATTGTCTGCCTCCTTTCATATCGCAGCAGTGACCACACTTCAAAAGTGCATCAGTGGTTATAAAGCACGTTTGTGAAGGCATGGGGCTATGAAAAGTGTTACATAAAATAAGTTTAAAATACAAACGCTGAGTTTCTTTCATGTTTATTTTTCCTTTTCCTCTGTTCTATTTTTGGACTGTCTGAACTCTTTTTCTTTTTGTTTTCTTCTTCTATTAACTGTGTTTTCTATTGCATTCTGTTCTCTTTTTACATCTCCGTGTTCCCTTTCTCTATCTTCTTGTTTTCTGCTCTCAGATTAACTTTTCCTTTCAACTCATTCCCTTTGTTTTTCTCATTCATTTGAGCTTTTTCCTATTGTTTCTTTTTACTCTCCCTATTTATCTCTGGCTCTCCTTTCCTTCCAACTCATTCTATGTTAACTCTCAATTCTTATCTCCTTTTCCATCTCCTTGCTCCATTCTTGCCTTCCTACATTGCAATATTTCTCTTCCAGCCTCTGCTGAATAAGGCATTTTCAATATAAAGTTGAATCGTGGAGCTCCAGACAAAGCTTCCCTGAGTGCCAAGCAGATTTTTTTTTTGCTGTATCAATTATTGTCTGCTATTGTTGAGTTTCTGAAGCGCGGGGGAGTATCACAGATGTGACCGCCCCATCTGGCATCACAAGTAAATGTCGATGTGCCTCGCTGCTGCAGTTCCAGCAATAAAACTAGGAATCTGATGCCAAGCCTAAATGCTGCAGTTTTCCATCATTCCGATTACAACAAAATCTGCACAAGCTCCTTGCATCCTTTCAAGATCAGTTAGTCAGGGACATCCCGAGTGCAAGAGAATTTGCACATCTGAAGTCAGTCAATCTGTGTCTGTCTTTTTCTCGGATCTTGTCGCGGAGACTCATTAACCATTATCTACAGATCGTGCACTACCACTTTTCTGTCACTGGTCTCTTGCCAAGATGGTCGGTAGCTCTGCACCTCTCCAACTTTCGTCTTTGACCGAGTGCCAGGGAATATCCACCAGAGAGCAGGCAGAAGCAGTCAGCCACATTCAACTCTCATACACCTGGATCTCGCTGGTCTGGCTGTGTCTGATTTTTAGGATATTTTAACTGATTTGAACTTAGGCTCCATCTAAGGCAGTCTGTAGGGATGCAGATCTGCCCTGTGTTTTAATGAACTGCTGTTGTCTCACTGAACTCTATCTGAACCTTGAAATCAAATAGCAAGTTTCCCTCTCACTGCTAATCCTGGTAAACCTGTTCTAGCCAGGACGCATAATGGTTTTGCAATGTTTTATAGTGGAGTGAACTGAACAAGTCTAACTAACTGATAGGGTTACAACAAACTCCATGTATTATATATAAATTATATATAAATAATTGCTTAAGGCACTGCCAATCTTCTCACTGATGTTGGGTCCTTAGTCGAAGATTCCTGTTTCCAGTTTCTGCATTGACTGTGATCTAATACATATTCTTTTCTTTAATTGTAACCTGTTCAGTTTGCAATCACATAACACACTCTCTCCGAGATCGTTCCTGAGACCCGACACCATCTCCCTTGACCCTATACCCACTAACTTGATGATCAACCAGATTTCTTTCCCAACTATAAAGGTTACCTGGTATGAGCAACGTTGTCCCTCTACCCTCTCAAATATGCTGTAGTCACCCATTTCAAACAAAGACCCTTGTTCCGGTCTCCTTGTAATCTGGTGTCCTATCTCCACCACTATTTCCTGTCCCAATTCTAGATGTGTTGTTACCTTCCCCTGTATTTCCTGGAATTCCATGTTGGTATCCCTCCATCAGCTTTCCGTCCATCGCTTACCAAATCGCCAATGTGTGATTATGGCACAAGTCCCTTTTGACCTGCCTGCAGACTTTGATATGGCTGACCAAACTATTCTCCTCCAACACCTCCTTTCTGTCATCCATCAGGGTGGGACTGCTCTTTCAATCTGCTCCAGTTGGACACAGTGGCTCAGTGGTTAGCACTGCTGACTTGCAACTCTGGGGACCTGGGTTTGATTCCCCTCTTGGGTGACTGTCTGTGTGGAGTTTGCACATTCTCCCTGTGTCTGCGTGGGTTTCCTCCCACAGTTCAAATATATGCAGGTTAGGTGGATCGGCTATGCTAAATTGCCTTGTGGTGTCGATTAGGTCGATTAGCCATGGGAAATGCGGGGTTACATGGATCGAGTATCTGCATTCCTTTAAATCTGGCTACTTGAGTATCCTCGATTTTTCATTGTTCCAACAGATGGTGGCTGTACCATCAGTTGCTGATCAACTCCTCTCCCCTATTTTCTGAAGTTCCTTAAAACATTTGTCTTTGAGTAACCTTTCGGTTATTTTCCCTCATGTATGTGGCTTCATGTCACAAGTTGAGTTATAATGTTCTTGTGGACTTTCATCATGTCAATGATGCCATATAAATGCAAATTGTTGTTATTATATGCAGTATACATTGTGTATTGTAAATAAATATAGTTTCAGAAATAGATTGTTGTAGTGTACATGAAGCTTTATAATAGCCAAACTGGACCTTTTAATATGCTTTATTGTGGCAGTGTACAGTGTTAATCCAAATTTCTTCTGGTATAGTATTTTATACTTTGTCAGAGCGCACAGTGTCGATAGCATATTGTGTTAATGTATAGGATTATACAGTTTTGTTTAATAGTGTGATCTTTATTTGGATATTCTGTGGTAGGATACAGTGTCTGTAATGCATTATTTTAGTTTTAGTCCATTGATATCAAAGAATCAAACATTTTGTGGGGTTTATACTGAGCAGCCAATCAATTACAACCTGTTTTCTGTCTGATGTTCAAGTCAAAATTCATTTCTAATTATTATGCATCAGACCAAACTCCTTCAAAATATATTAAGAAGCTGGCCTATCTCCTAACTTTTTCTTATTTTAAATGTAAATGTAAGACGTTGCATTCCAGATGCAATTCAATTGGTCAAATTACTCGACATTAAGCAAAACACACTTTATTTTTTACACTACCGTTAAAATACAGACAAACTAAAAATAAAAGAATTGACTTGACTGTAATTCTATCAAAATGATTAACAAAATAAAATATATATATCTAATATATATGTAGGACCATTACTAATTACCTGTTCCAATGTAGTAACATCCAAAAGACAGACCCTTGGCAAAGGCAAATTCAGTAAAATAGATTGTCTCATGTGGAATTCTAACAGCAGGAAGAGAACCCCAGCTTTTAGCTGTCACAGAGAGAGGAATAAGAGCTTCCACATCCAGCTTCAATATCCCAACAAGTGCAGAAAGCAAAAACTACAAATCCTGGTTTGTGGGAGCTTGACCCCACACATCCAGGCTGCTTCTATTGTTCCAACATTGTTTTAAAAAAAGGTCAAGGCCTCAATCTGTTTACTTTGAGCAGACTACTCAATGCCTGTGTCTCAACCTTACTTCATAAAAAAAGGACAAAATACACCTCTTATAACCATAATATCATCACACTGATATTAGTGACATTGATCTGTTGCCTTTAACAATATGCTTTCTAGTGAAATTATGGTTTATACTGCTTTTGGCATGATCAACGGGACATGAGTCACAGAGTCTCCAGAATGGACAGCGTGGAATGCTGTGTCCTGATCAGTAAATGAATGATTTCAGTTTTTTTTCTCAGAGCTCAGTAGGCAATTACTAACTCACACACAGGCAATGTACACAGACTGCACTTAAACACAGACTTCAGGGTCAAGTCCAGGAGACCCGAAGAGAATGTGAAGGAATGTGACCAGAGGCAAAGAGAAACACTGGATGGGGCTGATTGGATGGAGGAGGGAGTGAAGGGGCACAGCCATTACTGTGCAGCCCATATATACTTAAATGGGATATGTTTCACAACAAAAAGAAACATTTGCATTAGTACAAATATTTTCTCAACTTCAGGACGATTCAAATTGCTTTACAGCCAATTACATAGATCTACAGAAGACAAAATGGCCATTCATCCCAACCAATTCATGCTTCATTGTGATCCCAACATACTATCGGACAAGTCAGATTCCAGAGTGGAACCTGGCTTGATAGATGATAGGTTTTATTTCTCTTTGTTTACTGTGGACAGTTACTGAACTTAATCTCAGTATCCTTTCTAGAAGTTTACAAAAGAATAAAAAGCATGCTCTATATTGCACTATACAAGACCAATTTGAGGAATCTCTTTGCAAATATCAGAAAGCGTCAACCTTTTCACCCAATAATAATCTCACAGACACTTAAACCTCTATGACGTGTCACCCCATCTCCATGCTAATGCTTGTTTCACAGTTGGCATGGCTATAATCAGTTTCCTCTTGGCAACTTTTTCTGTGCATTCATACAATGCTATTTTCTTCAATTAACATCTCTCTCTAAGACCAATAAAACAAACTGCTAACTCAGCTCACATATTGCTTAACACAGGTTCTCTAAACTCTCATCTTCAGCAACTTTGTAGGATGTCTTCTTTTCTGAAACCTCCACAGCCATCTGCTTCTGCAGTTTTTTTTTGTCCACTGATTTCTAATCAGCTGAGGACTTCTTCCAAGCTCTACCTGTTTGGAGATTGCTAATAACAACACCTCTGCTGTTATGAATTTCTTTCTGAATCAATCTGCTTCAGGTCTTCATCTCTCTCTATCTCTCTGTCTGTGTAGTGGTTGTAAAACTGAAGTCAGCAAGTACTTTATAGCAGTTATCTCCCCACATAACATGCTGACAATTTAGCTGAAATCACATGACTTCATCTAAGAGATTGATTCAACTATGCCTGCATTCACTCGAGTTTAGAAGGATGAGAGAGAGGATCTGATTGAAATATATGGAATTCTAACAGGGTTGGACAGACTAGATACAGGGAAGTGGTTTCCCCTGACTAGGGAGTCTAGAACCACAGGATATGGGGAAGACCATTTCAGACTGAGTTGAGGAAAAATTCCTTCACTCAGATGGTAGTGACCCTGTTGAATTCTGTACCACAGAAAACTGTAGAGGCCAGGTCACTGAATATTTTCAAGAAGGAGACAGATCTTAAAGGCGTCAAGGTATATGGGGAGTAAATGGGAATATGGCATTGAGATGGAGGGTTAGCTGTGATCATACTGAACGGCAGAGCAGTCTCAAAGGGCTGAATAGCCTACTCCTGATCCTAGTTTCTATATTTAACTGTATTTCTGTGTTTAACTCAAGGTCAAAAAATCAATTTGTACATTAAAAAAAATTGGGATTCTCCTACAACTAATGAATTAAAATCCATTTTTCATGCATTTTAGTACCCAAGTTTCCAAATAATAAACCATAAATATTTTGTAACTGCAGTTATTTATGTACAATCTGAACCTCCTCCCCTCCCATTGTAATTCTCCATTTCCTTCTGCATTGAAGGTCCAGCTTCCCTTTAATACAGTTTGCTTCAGCCAGTCCTTAAGTATCCAGTTCCCCACTTTTTGTGTGAAGAATTTCCTTCAAGAGTGGATTTCTCGGTCTCTTTTTTTAGAAAGAATCTTATGAAGCGCCGTCATTGTTGCGATGTAGAGAAAGTGGCAGCCAATTTTTGTGTAGCATGATCCCAAAATAGCAATGAGATAATGACCAGCTGATTTGTTTTTGTGCTGTTGAGGGCAAAGACAAATCTAAATGAAGGAACAGAAGTTTGCTGCAATTAGTTATATCATGAAGATAGTCATTGGGAGCTAAGTCTCAGGATCCATAGTTGAGCTGATAAGTGACACTACTGATGATGGAATGGTGTTCTGTTGTTAGTCTTGGGCCAGGAATGTAAAGAATGATCACTTTTTCAATTCACTTATTGGACATGGCTGCATAATTTATTGTCTGTCCCGAGATGTCCTTAAGAAGTTCCCCTCTTGAACTTCTTCAGTCCATGTGCTGTAGGTAGGCCCACAATGCTGTTAGGGAGAGAACACACGCACTGTCAGGACCCCTCTGTAAATGCTGACATCCGCAGACCCTCATAAATACTGATGTGCTAGCTGGGTGCCCTATAAATACTTGGCATTGCGGGGCCCTCTAGTGGCAAAATCCTGGGATGCAGCTGTAAAGAGTGAAACTCTCCTATAAGTACTGACACGCTCTGGGGGAAACCCCTTTCAATACCGTCACACTCTTGGAGTTCAGCTGCAGATGCTATCCCACTCCCACTCCTCTAGCATTGCCGGAGACCCTCTGTAAATTCTCACACACACCCAAATACCCAGGAAATACTTATGCCTGGGACTCCTGTAAATACAGATGAACTCCTGGGAATCTCTACAAATACTGAGACACTAGCCTGGGAGCCCTGTCTAACTCCTGACACACACCCTGTAAATATAGGCACACTCCTGAAATCCCCTGTTAAAAGCAGACACACATTGCAGGGATTTCCTTTAAATGCTGATACTCTTCCAGGCTCTCCCTGTGAAAAGTGACACATTCCTAAAGACCCCTTATAAATATTGATAGACTTCCAGGGACCAATATTCCTTCTAATTTTTTTTCCATCCATCTGCAGAATGATTTTTCTTTAAATGCGCACCAATATCAATGTGTTGTATTGATGCGCAATACCATGGAAACAAATATTTGCCTTTATTAAGACCTGGTTGTTAAAAGGAAAGGGTTGCAAGCAACTTCATAGACCTACTCAAACCAACACAATTTCCCTATACCTTTTCAAACTTAATTAAATTTAAATTTATTACCATTACTTACCAGTCAGCACTATGATGGTGTCAGCACTTGCCAAAATTCAGAGTGTATAAAAGGAAGATCTTGCATTTATATGGTGTCTTCCACCACCTCAGGAGGTTTCCAACATGCTTTACAGCCAGTGAAGTACAGCTTAGGAAAATCAGTTTCCCATAAGGAAATAAGTAATAATGGTGTGCCATGATTCTGTCCTGTAATTTTTACATTGAAAACCTATTGATTGCCTTGAACCTAAGTGGGCCGAAAATCCTCTTAATAACTGATCTCCTAATTGTCATGTGCCACCTACAGCTTTGCTGCCTGTCCTTCCTCGCCACTCACTGCCTCCTTCACTCGCTGCCTCTCCCTCCTCACCAACCCTCCCATTTGGCATTTTCTCTCCTGCTCGCTGCCTCTCCTGACTGGCTGATTCCACCTACTTGCCACCTCCCCTGACCACAGCGCGTTCTGTAAATCCTCACATCTCACATTAAAATTGGGCCAAATAAATAGTTGTATCAAATTTTGCCTTAGGAACCTTATTTGAAACTGCGGAGTTCACAGGCCGTCAGAAAAGGGTAACTGGTTCACAGCAAGTCTCACAAACTCCCCAACTCTTCAAATGGCATCTACTTTCACTCTACAATTTCCTGCTTCCATCACACTCTCTCTTCTTGCACTATCATTGGGTGAGCTGCCGTCCAATCCTCTGCTACCATGTGGTCTGGTCAGCATCAGTGGACCTTCGACCATGTGTGGCATCACGGCTTCACAAAGTATTCACTGGTGGAGCAGCAGATACTCTGCACGTCTGGGTCTTGTGTGTGTGGTATTAATACATATGACAGCTTAGTGTACAACTACTCAATCATCACTTTAGAGGGAACATAGCCAGGAACCCCATTGCCTCCCCTTGCTGTGTCATAAATACGGACTCACTCCTGGAACACCATGCAAATGTTGACAATTCACAAGGACTTCCTGACACAGATCTGGAGTGTACACCATTCACTGTCTCTTCCTCATGAGGGGAGAAGGATATCATTGGGTGTAGGCTGGGAAGGAGGTGGAAGGGAGTTTTAGCTGGGTAACAGCATTGGAGGGTTGGTAAATGATCAGCTAACCATCTGCTGGGGGGGGTCAACTAGTAGATTGTTATGGGTGAGGTTGGTGATTACACAGGAAGGAAGATATTTTCATCGGAAAATGGGGGGCAGAATGGATACAGAAGAAGCAATTTAAGGGCCAAGGCATTGGTAGCAAAAAGCCTTTGTCTGACCTTCCTCCATTTTTGTGCCATTTGTATTTTTCAGCTGAGAATTCAGAACCAAAGATCATATTCTGAGCAAAGGTCAAACTGACCTCCTAGAGGGACTTGGCTGGCATATCACAAAGCTTACAGAATTGGATATTTTAAATTTATCTCCAGAGAGTTGCTCTCCAATTGGATGTCACTGATGATCTGTAACTCTGTATGATAAATAACATCAGTGATTAAACTCTCCTGTATTAAGTTGGTAGTCAGCTGACCTGACAAGCCAGTAACATCATTGTTTCAAAATCCATTATTGGTGATATGATAGCTCGAAATCTTGGACGTTGACTACCCTGAAATTTCATTCCTTTTCCTCAGTTGAATTTGAATGCCCCTGCCCCCATCCGTGTGTCTTTGGATGACCTTCCTCTATAGAACAGTGTACCTCAGCATTTGGCTGCATTTGTGTCCTATGCCTGCCACTTCTCCTTGGTCTGTGTGCACCAATCCATTAATTGACTCCATATCTTGATTGATCTGAAAGGATCTTTTTTAAGGAACTGAGCACTAAGTGCTCTCTGTCTGCCTGTTCTCAGCTATCAAGAATTAATCTCTTCCTAGGCACCAGAAGAAGGAGGCAGGTGGTGGAGTTGTTCTGAATGAATATGATTGATTTAATCACGTATTCAAAGATATATTCCCTCAAATTTTTCCCTTGTGAAAGATCCAGTCGCACTATTTACAAAGGATTGAGCTCTCTTGCTAAACTGGTCAATATTTAACAAGAACAGAGATGACGAATAAGCAAAAACTGAGCACTTTTCAGAATGAGTCTTTTGGATGAGCTAAAGTTTAGAGAGAATGTGTAAAGAATTGGGATAGTGGTGGCTGCAGAAGATGGAAAGACATGGATAAAGCAGCATACGGGCTAGGGCAAGAGCAGATGTGGACATCATTATAGAATTAACAGTGGGATGGTCTTTGCAATGGAGAGAATATGGGGTCTGAAAGTCAATCCAGTGTTAACTAGTGATTAGAGTTTGCAAAAGGTCTCATTCAGCCTGAGATAATGGCCTATGATAGGGGTGTAATTGCTGGCGAGGCTGCAGAGTTTGCTGCAGAGACTGAAAATAATGGTTGCAGTTTTAGCAATGGAGATCTGTGGGGAAACTGCTTCTCCAGCTAGGACGAGATGTTGGATGATCAGCAAAGGCTATAAATACGGGAGCGTCACTGACATTCACGCGAAAGCTGATCTCATATCGGAGCATGCTTTCAAGGCAAAGCATGGAGACAAGGATGAAAAGGGACCAAAGATAAACTCTTAAAGGATTTAACATTTAATCCTGGAAAGGCAGGAAAAGCAACTGTTGCTGGAATTACCCTGGTGATGAGTGCACTCAAGCCAGGCTGGGTTATAGTTCCCTTCTGACATTTTTCCACAACCCTATGACACCTTTCTCCTTTACAACGCCCCTGTTTGAACACACTTTTAGTCATCTGACCTAACATAGCTTTACGTGGCTTAGTGTCATATTTTGTTTTATAATGCCTAGTGCGTATAGGAAGTTTTTTTACTTCACTGTATAAATAGAAGTTAGCACTTCTTTTGCCGTTACTCAATACCTAAAGTAGGTGATCTGGTTAGCTGTCTCCCTTGTTATGTGTGTTAGCTTACTGGCTTCCGACATTCCTGTGAATGATGAGAAGTCACAAATACTTCACTGGCCATAACCTCAGGGCGCCCTGCCTGAGGCGGTGACAGGCGCTACGGGAATGCACGTCTTTCTTTCATTGAAGCAGGTGGCAAAGGCCGAGAAGTAGGGGTTGAGGGATGTAGTGACAAACATGCAGGCATGGGTAAAAAGGACAGGCTTTCTGAGCGTATTGATGAGTCCCTCTGTGGGATATGGTCACCTGACTGGAGCTCTCCCCCCCTCTCTCTCTCTCTCACTCTCTGCAGGTTGTGGTGCGGCTCAGTGAAGACCTGCTGTCCCAGGCGGTGATGATGGTGGAGAACTGCCGGCCCACACTGACGATTAACCTTGCAGGGGCTCGTCAGTACTGGCTAGAGGGAATGTTACGCCATGAGATAGGTCAGTTTTGCAAGTGACTCAGGTAGGATCAAAGGCAAATTTTGTGTTTTATTGTCATCCCCACACAGTTTTTCTTTCTGCCCTTTATCTTGAAGACCCTGACTACTAACATATATATCGGGTCCCATCGGCCACCATTTGCCCTTTGCTATTACTCTCCGTGTGAGGCTGGACTGAGCGTGTTTCCTCCATTGAGGGCAGTCATGGGCTGAACCGTGTCAAACCTCAATACCTGCGATAGAGTCACTGTAACCAGGCGAGGAGCAGGAGCACTGGCTGCTCTTCATACCAGTTCTTCACCAGAGTCCAAAGGTATTCAGGCAATTGCAGTGACTCTCCTGCAGTCTGTGTTCGTGCACCCTATCCTGTTTGGCTCTGTTGCATGCTCAGCCAGTGCATTGAACCATCTGACAGAGCATTCCCTCACTCGCCAGTTGAAATTCCCTCTAGTTCACAGGCTGAAATTCACTGACTAACATCCACTGTAGTTCATTGGCTGAAATTGACTTTAGTTTACAAAGGCAGTCACTGAAATTGATTTTGGTTTACTAAGTCAGTCACTGAAATTGACTTTGGTTTACAAAGTCTGCCAGATCACTCTGCAAGCCCTGGGGAGAGCATGTTAAAGACCTCCTGTCTTCATGATAAAGCGTGGGACAACATTTTCTTCCATGTAAAACACTACGATGTAAGTTGTGCCAAAGCCCACCATCACCCGCTGAACACTTGCACTATCCCCGCTGTCACTTTATAGTAAGCTTTGAGGTGTCCCTCCCTTTTAGTTATCCTCAGTCCAAGTTCACTTCTTGGTCCCTGCCCACAGTGGAACTGGCTGCTCTCAAACAACTGGTACTGCCCTGGAACTGTGTAACGTTCTGCTAATTACTGACTGAAATGGTGTTCTGTGACTGACTCGGAGGCAGAAGCTCGCTCTGTGATGTGGTGATACTTTCTTCCTGCACTTGCTCCCTTTAATAAGCCTTGTCTGATATCAGGGACACACTACATCCGAGGCGTTAACAACAGCTACCAACCCTGGCACAGTGCGGCGGGTAGGAAGCTGTATGGTCTGAAGCCAGCCAACCCTACGGAAGAAGGCCTTGCCAGCCTGAACAGTGTCCTGTACCGCAAGTACCCATTCTTGTGGAGGGCTGCCCTGCTCTACTATACTGTCTTCCAGGCCAGTCGGATGCCCTTCTGTCAGCTCTTTGAAGACATTGCCAAGTTCGTGGAGGATCCAAACACTCGATGGGAGTATTGTGTGAGAGCCAAGAGAGGTCAAATGGACACTTCTCAACCAGGTCACACATATTTTCAACTAATTTCTTCTAAGCCGAAGTCGGAGTGATACCTTGTTGTTGTATTAATACCGGGCTAACAATCCAACATCCTAAACAAAGAAGAACACGCAAATTAGGAGCAGGAGCAGGCCATTCGGTCCCTCGAGCCTGCTCTGCCTTTAATAAGATTACAGCTAATAACGTGATAATGATCCAGAAATCCCTCCATAACAGCTGGGAAATGTATTTCCTGTTAATTAAAATAAAAAGTGGGATAAAAATTGGTCAGGGTGACCTTGTGACCACTGCTGGAAGAGAACCCAATATGATTAGAAAAGGAAATCTGTTGCCCTGATCCACTCTGACCTATTTGAGACACCACATCCTCAGCAAGGTGGTTGATTTTTTGTTTTGAAAATTCCCCACTGAAATGGGGTGGCTCAGTGGTTAGCACAGCTGTCTCACAGTACCAGGGACCCGGGTTCAATTCCACCCTCAGCTGACCATCTGTGTGGAGTTTGCACATTCTCCCTGTGCCCTCGTGGGTTTCCTCCGGGTGCTTCAATTTCCTCCCACAGTCCAAAGATGTGCAGTGGGTGATTCCTAACCACTTTCTCAAGGGAAGTTAGGGATGGGTGGTAAATAACAGTGATAGTGGAAATTTAAAAGAAGTACTTTAAAGAGTATTTACACATTTTGTAAAGTAGGCATAGGGTATTACCACAGATGAGTATTTTCCTCTTTAGGGCATGCCCTGATGAGCTCTAGCAGAACCAGGTGCAGAATGAAGCTGTCTCTACTGCACCCTATCCACTGTGTCACTGCCCACCCGCAGAACAGCAAGTCATGTTTTATACACAACGTGGACTGTATTCTACGGAAACAGTTTTGTAGAGCATCTGCGCTCTGTACACGACAAACAACAACACCGTCCAGTCGCAAAACGTTTTAACTCCCCCTCCCACTTTCTGGGTGACCTGTCCATCCTGGGCCTTCTCCAGTGTCACAATGACGCCACCCGGAAACTGAAGGAGCAGCGCTTCATATTCAGCCTCGGGGGCCTACAGCTCGATGGCCTCAATGTGGATTTTACCAGTTTCAAAATCTCCCCACCCTTGGCCTCATCCCATGACCAACCCTCCCTCTCATCCCCACCTCCCTGACCTGACATAACCTGTCCATCTTCTCTCCCACCTATCTGCTCCTCCCACCTCACTGACAAATCCCCAACGCTCCCTACCTGCACTCACCTATCACCATCTCACCTACATTCTCCAGCCCCACCTCTCCTCTCTATTTATTTCTGAGCTCCCTTTCTCCTTCTCATTTCTGAAGAAGGGTTCTGACCTGAAATTCAACTTTCCTACTCCTCGGGTGCTGCCTGGCCTGCTGTGTTTCTCCAGCTCTACACTTTGTTATCACTACTTCTATTACTTTGTCCCCACCATTAATCTGATCACAGATGTAAATCTGTTTCAATGCACTTTGAACATCAAGGCCAAATAAGATGAAAACATTTCTGTCTCAGCTTGTCCAAACCTCACACGATTTGGTTGTCCTGAGCTGATCTTGCTAGCTCAGATGCAACTCATTGGCAAATCTGATATTTTTTCACTTTGGGAATGATCTTTCTTCCATCTTTCTTTCTAGCAAAAAAAACTAATCCATTTCCTTGTCCAATCATCTTCATACTGTTCAGAGTAACCTCCCTTTGTTCCTTATCTAAATATCTGATCCAAAGCCTATTTCCACTCTCCAGCACCGTGTCAAGCTACCCTGACTTCCTTGAGCTCCAGAGTATTGATTTGAAAATTCTTGACGTTGTCCCTGATGTCTGTAAATCCTTCGTGCCTCCCATTCTGGGGATTGATGTGCTCTCCACACACTTTGACTTTATGAGTAGATGATCTTACATCCTGTCTACCCCAGCCCTTCAAAACTCTCCAAACTTATGCCCTCTCATCACATCACTCACACAGTTGATCTTTGAGCTTTCTGCTTTGCTTTTCTGCTCAACGTTCTGAGGTGTTGTAACTGTGAACAAATTTTAAACCGCTGCTGAATTAAGAGCGTTTTTTTGCTGCTAACTTGCTTCATTTCCCATTCCTTTCACACTATTTATTTAAGTATTTAGATGTGGACTTAGGAAGGATATTATTAAGCTGGAGAGGGTTCAGAAGAGATTTACCAGGATATTGCCAGGAATGGAGGGTTTGATTTATAAGGAGAGGGTGAATAGGCTGAGACTTTTTTCACTGGAGTGTAGGGAAGTTGAGGGGTGACCTTACAGAGGTTTATAAAGTCATGACTGGTATAGATAAGGAAATGGTAGGCGTCTTTCCCAAAGTGGGGGATTTTGAGACCAGGGGGCATCTTTTTAAGGTGAGAGGAGAAGGATTTAAAAAAGACATGAGGGGCAATTTTTTCACACAGAGAGTGGTTAGTGTGTGGAATGAACTTCCAGAGGAAGTGGTGGATGCGGGTACAGTTATAACATTTAAAAGATATTTGGATAACTACATGAATAAGAAATGTTTTGGAGGGATATGGGCCAAACACATGCAGGTGGGACTAAGTTAGTTTGGGATTATGGTTGGCATGGACTGGTTGGATTGAAGGGTCTGTTTCTGTGCTGTATGACTCTAAAGTGCAGACGCGATGGGCTGAAGGGCTTCTCTCTGTGCTGTAGCCCTAACTTACGTTAGATGCCTCAGGGCCATGACCTACAGCAATGTACAAAGTTGAATGACAGGAAAGGACCAGCTGGGCTTTGGAGCCTGCCCCACAATGCAATGCATTATGACTAAACATTTAGTTCCACCCAGCTCTCACCTCACACTATACCATGAATCTCCAGGAATAGGCAAGGAAGGAAGCAAAATTCCCAAGATCTAATAGAAGAGGAACTATACTCTGGAAAATTCCTAACAAATCAGTTGGGTGTTTGAACAACATAAAGGCTACAGATATTCAGTGGAAAACAATGACCTGAACAAAGACCACCTAATGGTGGCCACTTAAATGCCTGAAAAGCACTTGATTCTGTTAAGCTTGTATTCCCCACCAGTCTCAGAGACCCCTTGAGAAACACTATGACTCAGTGACACTTTGTCCAGGCAGAGGTTCCCTAGCCATACTCCCACCAGTGGATTTGATGGAATCGAGTGCTTTTCGGGCACGTAAGTGGCCAACGTCAGAGATTCCCCCATGACTAAAGATGCTGATGGAGATCCTGTTTGCTGACAGCTGCCAGCCTATCAGTTTCCATCAATGAGATTCAGACTATTTTTTGAATTCTTTCATGGGACATGCGAGACACTGGCAAGGCCAATATTTCTTGCACATCTCTAACTGCCCTCGATTGAGTGCTGACTAGTCTACCTCAGAGATTGGTTAAGAGTCAACCACATTATCTGGGATCCGGAGTGATTTAGACCATACCAGGTAAAGAGGGTAAATTTGGACGTAAGTGAACATTGGTTTTTACAACAAGCAGTGATTGACATTAGGTAACATGCCTTGAATTCCATTCATAAGTCTCATTCTGACTGAGTGCTATTGAAAACTAGCTGAGACATAACAGCAATGGTTGAATTTGAACCCGTTACCCTGAAGCATTGGCCTGGGCCTCTGGATTACGAATAAAGAAATGTGGCATTAACACCATGCTGTTGTCTGCTCAGAGGGAAACTCAGTCGTGAGGAGTGTTTAAAATCATTGATCCCAAATTCATTTGTTCTTGCCTAGCTTTGCTGTAATCACGACATGTCATGAATAAGATAGAGTGAATGACCAGGTCCTTTCCCTAGGGTGGGGGAGTTCAAGACTAGGGGGCATATTTTTAAGGTGAGAGGAGAAAAGCATGAGGAACGACTCTTTTATGTACAGAGAGTGGTTTTTGTGTGGAATGAACTGCCAGAGAAAGTTGTGGATGTAGGTACAGTTACAATGTTCAAAAGATACTTGGACAGATTCATGAATAGGAAAGGTTTGGAGGAATCTAGGCCAAATGCACACAAGTGGAGCTAGTTTAGTTTAGGAACATGGTCAGCATGGACTAGTTGGACCGAAGGATCTGTTTCCCTGCTGTATGACTGTAACATATATACTGCATCCCAAATAAATCTTACCTAATTGCTATTTGAATGAATCAACACTAACTAACTAAGCCATCTCTCAAAAATACCTTTCACAATGAAGAGGTAGTCGTGTCAATAATCCTTTCTCGGGGGATTTGGTGGCTGGGAGTGGAGGGAACACAGTCAATGATTACTGTTTGCCGTGTGCTCTCGGCTGGGCCTGACTGGCTGTTGTCTCCTTGCAGGTTGTTTCAGTAAAGACCAGGTGTACTTGGATGGCGTGTTGCTCCTGCTTCGATACAGAAAGACCATTGACTTCAAGATGCTGGCAGCACTTGGAAAGGTAACCGCCACCTAACCTTCCATTTCTGAGGAACGCTTGTCCCGGAGGTTGTAGAGCATAGATTAAGTTCCTGGGATGAATGGGTTGAACTATGATAAGATGCCAATTAATTGAGCTTATATTCTCTGCAGTTCGGAAGAATGAGAGGTGATTTAATTGAAATGTATCTGACTCTGCGGGCGTTTGACAGGGTACATACTGACAGGAATGGGGAATCTAGAACTTAGGCTTGGGCTAAAGAGCCTATTGTTTAGGACTGAGACGATGACCTTTTTTTTTCACTGAAACGATTGTGAACCTTTGACATTTTCAACCAAAAGAGGGTTGCAGAGAGTTGCATTGTTAAATGTCTAAGGCTGGGCTAGACAGCCATAAGTCCTTTGAATTCCCTCCCGCAACCTCTCTGCTTCTCTCTACCAGTGTGTGGCATCAGATTATTTTCTGATGACACCGCTGGGAAGCACTGGGAGCATTACATTACATTAAGACATTATATCAGTGCCAGTGATCTTGCTACACACGTGTCTGTCTCCCTGCTTAATAATAATGCTCAATAATGTTAACCAGGTCTCCTTCGAAGACGTGGAGCATTTGAAGAAATGCGCCATCCTCCAAAACACGCGCATCCCGCACTTCATGAGGGATCAGGCCCGCTACCTGGATCAACTACACCACATCACCGCAGTCAATGGACTGACAGATGAGGAGTTGCTACGGCTTATCCCCAAGTAGATGGTGCTGGTGATGGAAGTGTGTGGGGATTGAGGAGGGAGCCTTTCAATGGGCTTTCTATCCAGTTTGCTTTTCAATGCACTGCTTCATTGCAGTGCACGTAAACACACACACACACACACACACACACACACACACACACACACACACAACTCCAAGGCACAGTGGCCTTAAATTTTTGCGGCGATGCATTGGAGCATCGATGGACATTTGTATGAAAAATTGTGGAACTGTTTCTATTGGAAGCTAAAGCCTGGAGCTGCAGCTTCACCCTCTGACCTCTGTCCTTTGTGTGCCACGCATTTCCTATTTAAACTTGTATTTATTGTTTGCAAAGGTGCTGCTTTTAAAAAAAAAAACATTTTAACTTCTTGTTAGAAAGGTTGGTTGGGGTGGGAAGGGAGGGATGGATGAAAAAAATACAGACATTTCTTTCAGTATTGTCCGTGTGCATTCTATCGGTGGTTGTGACAGGGCTTTGCTCAGGCTGAGTAAAGGCATGATGTTGGTTCAGTTATAGAGTCATTATAAACCGAAAGAAGCCACTTGGCCCATCAAATTCATTCCAGCCCTCTGTACAGCAAGCCAGCCTCCTGTCAGAGCCATTGCATTTTTGAACCAGTTCTGCATCATTGTTTCGATGAAAACTTTATGCTCAAATGAAATTTAAAAATAAAGACAGAAAAAAAAGCTGAAAATGACTTAGCAGAAAACGTCACAAGTTATGGGGTGAATATTAGTAGGCCATGAAATGGCCAGACATTTAGAAGATGTAGTTTAACCCAGAGAAGTGTGAAGTGATTGCTTCGAGTGGGAAAATTGCAAGAGACATTATTATCTAAGTGTTTCAATTTTAGATGTCACAGAGACCTGGGGATGTCTATACATGAATCTTTGAAGGTCTAAGGAGAAGTTGATTAAACTCCTTTGTTAAAGAATATTGGGAGGTGGCAGAAAAATAGAACTGAGGCCACAATCAGATCAGCCATGATCTTATTGAATGGTGGAGCAGGCTTAGAGAGGCAGAATAGCCCCACTCCTGGTCCTAATTCATATCTTCAATATGGACCAGTTGAGAAGACAGTTAGAGAGCTTGGGGGATCCTTGGCTTCGTTAATAGAGTACAAAAGCAAGGACATTATGCTGACCCTGATCAAATATTGGTCAGGACTCAGTTAGAATACTAGTTTCAATTCTGGGCACCATATTTTAGGAAGGATACTAATCACTTAGAAAGGATGAAGAATAGCTTTACAAGAATGGTACTTGGGCAGACTCAGTTATTTAGTGGAGCTGGGGTTGTTCTCCAAAGAACAAAGATGGTTAGGAGGAAGTCTGATAGAGGTGTTCAAAATAATGAAGGGGTTTTGTTGGAGTAAGTCACGAGTGGTTGCTCCCAGAATGGAATTGTCCAGGGGACACGTTGCAATAGGCCCGAAGGCAAGATGAACGAACATGAAGTTGTTGTGAATCACTGCGGGTGGGAGTAGATTTAATAACAACATTCAAATGCTAACTGTATAAATACATTCAGGCAATGTATCTGTAGCTATGGAGAATGGGCAAGGGAGTGAGATTTATTGGGTAGGTCATCAAAATAGGCTGACTGAGTTGAATAGCCTCTGTCTGTGCCAGGAAGCCTTGTAATGATGGCCACCATATCACAGGATGGAGAAACAACTGGGGGTAAAAACAGATGTTTTTTTTTCAAAAAAAAAAACAAGGTATGTTTTTGTGGCCTAGCTTTGAATATTCATCTCTGGATATATGAGGGTTGAGTCCAGAAATTGAAAGGTGGCACATCACTGATGTTGAAAGCATTTGTAATGAAATGACCCAAATTCCCCTTTACAGATGTTATGTCCTGGGGCTCTTTCCTAACAGGAGTCCTGAGCTTCCCTGACACAGACCAGATACAGATCAGAGGATTGAGCCTGTCCAAACTGACTGGCGACCAATCAGCTGGTTATGTCAGAGTGTACGTTTTCTCTCTGGTCCAAATTGCTTATAATTGGATGTTGGATAACATGCCAGTGCTCTATGATTGGTTTTGAAACCTCATTAAACAGGGAGGTTAAGGTGACACGTATAAAGTCTGAGATCCTCCAGGGTTAGTCAGACAGCCTCCAGGAATTAAAGGTGGAGGATACTCCACTTCAGGAGAAAAGTCACTGCCATTAAGAGAATTGTATTGTGTCATTTTCACTTTCTTTTGATCAATTTCATGTACTAGGTTATTATAGAGGTAATGGAAAATTTGGGGAAGGCCGTTTTAACTGGGGAGGGTGGTTGGAGTCGGAAGGTCCCCTTTGTGATGGAACCTCTGGCAGTACCTCCAAACAGAGTTGGCCACCCTAGGTTCACAGGTCATGCTTCCTTCTTTTCCTGGCAGCTGGAGATACTGAATGCAACGGGAGAGCAAAACTTAATGTCAGAATGAAGGAATACTCTCCCAGTTTTGAAGTCAACCTTTACCTGCAACACTGAAAACCAGTGGAAATGACTGAAATTTTTTTAGATCATGTCTGGAGTTCTGTATCGTGTTGTGTACAATAAACTTGAAATGACCAAGTGGACCAGTGACATGTCTTTATATTTACAATATGAGAAGATATTTATTATACACTTTAAATCCAAAATTACACAAATTGTACGACACTGCTGGCACTCTACTTCAGTGAAACAGCAAGCTGCCCTTTCCCCTCCGTGACCTGGATTCGAATCCTGCCTAGGTCAACAGGCTGAAGGTTTGCTTCCATTAAAATGGGTTTGGTACCCGCTCCATTAACAAGCGTGAGTCAATGCTACTATGTTGATCGAAACTGTTAGCCATTCTCGGAGGGGGTGCAAGGATTGCTGTGAGGAATACCACACTGCAGAAATAAGTGGGTGTGCTTCAGTGGTTTCGGTTCAGACCTATATCCGGAGAAGAGGTGGGGCTTTATTTACTCGTGGTCTGTGTTTTTCCTGGTTGTGCTTCACAGAAAGATTGAACACTAGAAAATAAAATGCGCATTTGTTTTTTCATTTTAAATTCCTATTTTAAAGTAGTAAAAGTTCTGCTGCGATTTTTTTCTTTTAGCTGTAGTGTTCTACTTGTGCAACTTAACTTGTCTGGAAGGTTGTCTAAGAACTTGGGCAGCATGGTAGCACAGTGGTTAGCACTGCTGCCTCACATTGCCAGGGACCCAAGTTCGACTGCACCCTCGGGCGACTGTCTATGGGGATTTTGCATGTTCTCTCTGTGTATGTTTTTGTTTTCCTCCAGGGATGTGCAGGCTAGGTGGATTAACATGGAAAATGCAGGGTTAAGGTAGGGGATATGGGTCTGGGTGGCTGCTCTTCAGAGGGTCGGTGTGGACTCGATGGGCTGAATGGCCTGCTTCCACACCAGGGATCCTATGAACTTGAAGGAGAGGAAATACACATGATACGTCAGTAACAAAAAGTGCTCAGTGATTCACAAAAGAGTTACACACGAGAATGACAAACAATCATCTCGCTGAGAGTGGAAATGAAGAACAATCAGAACACAATAATTTGGGAAGCTCCCATTAAACCTCATGATGGTTTAATTCTAGTACAAGCAAAAGTAATGGCAATAGTCACTAAAAAGTACAAACAAACTGTCAAACAGCAAACATAACTACAAACATAAAGTGCACAGCTTTGAATGACTGAAAAAAAAAGTGTGCCAGGTACAAGTAAGTTACATCAAGTTAGTACTGGGAAAGACTTTTCATCTGTGGTTAGACAGAGCAACAGTTTAGTTTCGTCTGCGGGAAAGTGGAATGCTAATTGTATTGTTTCAAAAGATTTGTTGAAAAGTTGCATTAAATTAGATGGAGTTTCCTGATTTTCTTCATTTTGTAACAGTCTCTGCTGAGAAACAAGCTGTGAAGGTATAATATGACACCCTTATGGCTCCAAAGTGCCCTTCATCCTTCATAGGTCAGGCTTGCTGTTAGAGAATGACCATTTCAAGCTGGAACGAGAGAGCTGCCAATGTCTATGATACTGTAACACGGCACGCCCAGTGCTTTTAGTGAGAAGCCGGGTGAGGGAGAAAATGTGTCCATTTATACAAAGAATCTGAAGAATTACAAGTGGACTTTCTATTGAGCAGGGAGGAAGAGAAACCGGAAGACTCTGTCAAACACAAAAAGAAAGCAAACTGTAGCAGATGCTAGAAATCTGAAAAAAAAAGCAGAAAATGAGGAAATGCACAGCAGCTGCACGGAGAAAAATGGAACAAACTTTTCAGGAACAACGAAGACCCCTGAAGGGTGGTGTTCGACACCACTTGCAGGAAGCACGGAGTGGCAACAGCACAGAATGTACTCTGGCTATAACACCGGCTTCAGTTTTGATGAGCAAATGAAGGCATTTTCAAAAAAAAAAAAATATAGAAATGGATGACAGGATCAAACTAACCTGGAAGGTGCACCTTGTGGAATGTGGACCTCAATCCAAAAGTTTATTGGCATCCATTAATGTCAGTCATTATGATGATCTCTGAGGTAAGACGAACCAATGTTGTGAAGCCTTCCTGTTTAGAATAGATTGGTTTCGAAGGCTTTCAGAGACACTCTGCTGCCCAGTGGCCCAAAGGCAACAAGTAAAATCCAAGTCTGATCCCACTTGAGGCTCTACGGAGGTATTCCGGTCGCTGTCCAACAAGATTTTAACCGGATGACCAAACAGTCATCAAAATCAATATTTTCCATGCCAAGGGACTGCTGTGAGCACCCTGTAGTCTGTGTGGCGATAGTGATTTACAGGAAATCAATATTGTCTGCTGGTAACTGAATTAGAAGATTCTACAGGTCAATGAAACACCTTGCACCAGAGTCGTCGAATTGGAAAACCAAACAAACAAGCTGCTTGAAATCATCCTGCTAGCCCATTCTCTCTGTCATTCTTGATGGCTGTTTCAGTGTAAATCGATTTTCCTAGTTTGTTTCTCGTCAGTGAAGATCTCCATCCAAACTGGGCAATGCTGGGAAATGACTCCTCCCCATTTCCAACCATCTGGAATCCAGGGGCTGCTGAGGCCCTGTCGAATTACCCCCCATCTCCCTGGGAAACAAACGAGACAGGTTTCTGGCAGGCTGAGACAGAAGGATAGCATTTGAGAACAATCACACAGAGTTTCACAGGCAATTTGCAAAAAGAGCATATTTTTTTAAAAAATTAACAACCTTTTGCAAATCAAAGATTTCTTGGCTTAACAACAAATCGAGGCCTTTGTGCACTGAAACACATAGGGTATGAAACTCGTCGGCTGAACTTTCTGGACCCAAATGGAGTAACAGCTGTTGTTGTACTCTTTGCTTGGGAATAATGTGAAATGGCAGAAGGATTTTGCGGACAGCTTAACAGTCTTGACAATATGTTAAGTGAACACTTTTTCCATGGTTATAACCGTCTTTATACCAGCTGATATATCACTAGTCCTGTTGATGGTGGTACAGCGGTAATGTCACTAGGCTAGTAATTCAGAATCTCAGGCTACTATTCTAGAGGCATGGTTTCAAATTCCACCACAGCAAGTGGTGAAATTTGAATTCAGTTCTAAAACAAAAGGAATTGAAAAGCTAGCCTAATGGCGACCATATAGTCATCGTCATAAAACTTCCATCCAATTCACTAATGTCCTTCAGGGAAGGCAATCTGCGGTCTTTGCATGTCCCAGACAATGGGCGGCACGGTAGCTCAGGGGTTAGCACTGTTGCCTCACAGCGTCAGAGACCTGGGTTCAATTCCACCCTCAGGTGACTGTCTGTGTGGAGTTTGCACATTCTCCCCATGTCTGTGCAGGTTTCTTCTGGGTGCTCTGGTTTCCTCCCGCAGTCCAAAGATGTGCAGGTTAGGTGGATTGGCCATTCTAGATTGCCCATAGTGTGCAGGCTAGGTGGGTTAATGTAGGGTTGGGGGAGTGGGTCTGGGTTGGATGCTTTTCAGAGGGTCAGTGTGGACTTGATGGGCCAATTGGCCTGCTTCCACGGTGTAGGGAATCTAGGTGACTCCAAACCCATGGCAATGTGGCTGACAATTAGAGATGGGCAATAAATGCCTGCCTAGCCAGGACTGCCCACCTTCAATGAATGAATTATTTTTAAAAATGCCATGGGGCTTTTACAACCCATAGCGCTCAGGCTGAAGGGGGATGCCTAGGATTGACAAGGACAATGTGCGGACAAAGGGAATCCATATCTGTGAGATGTGAACCTCCTACTGAATGCCAGCACTCCAAGCTGGGGCTGGATTTGTAAATGGGCCAGAAGCAGCGGGGCAGGCAGCTTGCTGTCCCTGGTTTCCATGACAAGTAGCAGCAGGCAGCCAGTTTAAGACTGTAATTTCAGGAGCCTGTCAAAGGCCCTGTTTCTGAGCTGGCTTAATTCTCCAGTTGGTAGCAAGAGCGGCCTTTGTGGGTCAACTTACACATAGCTGCTCAGGGCTGAAAGTGAGGGAGGAGGCACAAAAGATCAAGCAGAAGATACCCTCCCCTCCAGTATGGATCATAATCGCTGCCAGCACACTTTTAAAAAAATTCATTCATGGGATTCGTTGCCCAGCCTTAATTGTCAACCACGTTGTAAATGGGTTTGGAGTCACTGTAGGCCAGACCAGTAAAGACTGCAGATTGCCTTCCCTGAAGGACATTAGTGAATTGGATGGGAGTTTTACAACAACAATTATATGGTTGCCATTAGATTCTTAATTCCAGACTCGTTTTTACTGAATTCAAATTCCATCATCCGTTGTGGCAGGATTGGAACCCGGATCCCGGATCCCGGATCCCTAGAACCTTGTCTAGGTGTCTGGATTAACAGTCCAATTTTTTTTGGCCAATTTATATGCCTCCTCTTTGGTTTTAAGACTATCCCTGATTTCCCTTGTTAGCTATGGTTAAGCCACCTTCCTTGTTTTACTCTTACACCAGACAGGGATGCACAATTGTTAAAGTTCATCCACGTGTTCTTTAAATGTCTGCCATTGCCTATCTACCATGAACCCCTTAAGTATCCTTGGCCAGCTTATCCTAGCCAATGTTAAGTTCAACATCCCACCACTGGTCTCCTCTCAGCCAGACTATCTGAAGCAGGGTTCAAAACCTGCCCCTTCTAATTCAGAGACAAATATGTTGTCACATCATGTTTGGGAACAGCGAGTCCAACAAATGAGCCTTTGCATCTAAAGTCAGGGGGAAGAGAGAGGGGAAATGACTGGGATTCTTGTAACTAAGTTACTAAAAAAAGCTGTCAAGCAGTGATACAATGGCATCTTGGTCGCTGAATGAAGTGACTCAATGCACGTTCTTCATTTGCTGTTGAACAGTGGCTCAGTTTCTTTCAGAGGGGGCTGTTTGGTGGACAATGTGATTTGCTCCGTGGGAGGAAGGAGGGGGAAGTGATATTTCTCTTACCTGTGTAAGCATTTGCAACTTCCTGGTTCCACCAGATGTTGCCCTGGGTGACATCCCTGTCCTTGTCATTGCTGCTGACGTTGGTGAAGACATCACTGGGAACGCAGTGCTGGAAGTGGTTCTCTCTCAGTATATTGAACTCAATGGCATCGGGCTGCAAACCAAAGTGCCCCAGAATGATGAGCTGCTTCTGGTCTGGAAGACAGGGCAAAAGAATCTCTTTCAGCTCAGGAATTTAATCAGTCAGAACTTGAAATTTCTTATCTTCCTCCATTTAAACCTATGATAGCATCATGCAGCGCCAAAGGAGGCCATTCAGCCTATGCTCATTGAAAGAGCTGTCCAATAGTTTCCTCACTCCCACTCCAGTCTGAACACTTTTCCCTTTCAAATATTTATCCAGTTGCCTTTTTACGAGTTGCTGGTGGATCTGCTTCCCCCATTCTTTGAGGCAGTTCATTCCAGAGCTTGCTAGCTAATAATAAAACTCCACTCACATTTCCTTATTGCTCATTTCAAGAGTGAAGACAATTGACACTTTATTTAAAAAAAACAAAAGTGTGCCATCATGATCTCCCCTGGAGCATGGGAGTCAAGGTTGGTTTCCAAGATTCAGCAAATGCTGAGGGTTGACAGCCTTCTGAGCAACCAATTCATTCACAATTGGGTGGCACTGTAGCTCAGTGGTTAGCACTGCTGACAATGTTGGTATATATGCTGAAGATGGGGTTGAGGGAAGGAGTAAACGAGTCTTTCTAGACTCACTATCAAGTTCAATAATCTTACGGCCTGAGCATCTTGTCCCATGACCTTAGCCCAACTCCCACACACTAGGCCTTGTCATCATGTGGGCTGCTACCACAAAAAAAAATCCACCGTCAGTGACTCTCCTAGGCTTACCTTTACCTATTCCTTTGTCGACACAACTGTTTTTTCTCTCTCTCTGGGCTCTATCTCCATCTATCCTTTCCTGAGATGAGGAGAAATTCCTGTGGAATTCTTTGCCGCTGAAAGCAATTGAGACCAAAACATTGAATGATTCAAGGAGGAATTAAGTATAGTTCTTAGTTCTAATGGGACCAAAGGGTATGGGGGAGAGTGTGAGAACAGGCGACTGAGTTGGATGAGCAGCCATGATCACACTGAACAGGCTCAAAGGGCTGAATGGCCTACTCCTCCCATTTTTATGTTTCTCTGTTTCTTCCTTTGAAACCATCTCAACAATACTCTTTTCGCAACCCCTCAACTCTCTCTTTCAGTTTCAGCTCACATTTGAGTCTGTCTTTAACACAGTTTGAGCTATATGGTTGCAACTCCCTGTAGTGCTCTCCAGTCATGCACTCCTCCCCTTAACTGAGCTTTTAAGGACTAGAGCTGCTCTGCTCACCAGCCTTGTCCCCACAGCTCGCTTTCCAGCTCGCAAATCTGGTGTTACTTCTGTTTTCTTTCCATCACGTTGCTCTGTTCTATTACTCAAAAGCACTTTGTATGGTATGATCTGCCTGGACTGCATGCAAAACAAAACTTTTCTAGGTATATGGGACAATAACAAATCAAATTAAGTACCTGCGAGATGTGCTCGGAGAATGTCCATTGGCAGGGTTTTTTGTGGGATGCCTGTGACGACTTCAGGATCTGGTTTGGACTTAAGATGAACGTTGATGATGTCGAGCGAAAGTGTTCCTACCTACACGAGTCACAGGTGGGACAAAGTCAGCAAGAAAGTTGCTTAATCTTTCAGATCCATAGCTTTGGTGAACGCATGATACAGCTTTACCCTAAAGATAACAGCAAGGACCTCACAAGCCCACATAGTTGTACTGAAGATTGAGCAGATAAGGGTCAGTGGGAGGGCACCTCCTTCTCATGGGGGTGGTGATGGCAAGTTGGCACATGTGCAACTTTGGGAGGATTGTTTGGAGACTGTCTGCCTCAAGCCCATGGAAATTCAATCCCCAGTTTGCCCACGATGGAGAAGCGGTATGTTGCCAGGATCTCACCTACTCCATTGACAGCCGGATTGGCCCTAAGAGAACAGCTCCGACCCAGGAAGGAATCTTCACCCGCTTTTGAGATCTAGGTCACTTGTGAGGCCCAGTGCCCACCCATGAGCCTCACATGGGTACTTGTCATTGGTACATCAAAAAAGATGAGGCACTTCCTACATCCAGGTCTTTGGTTGAGACTCCCGAAGTCGACTTGAGATTCAGACAGCAATTGCAGGAGTAAAAAAAGAGACGGAGATGGCAGCAGTGAGGCAACCCACAGTGTACACAACCCACATGGAGCAGCTCTGGCAACTGATGCTGTATGTGCACGTGTGTCAGTGTGTGTCGTCACACTGTGTGGCTGCATCAAACACAACTGTCAGCATTTACCAAGTGGACTGTGGTTGGCCAAGGAAAAGGTAACAATATGGGATCACAAAATTAACGTTTTAAATTCCCCCAGTATTGCTTTTAATAGTTGCCAAGACATAACAAATCTGCTTGACTCCCAGCTAGCCTGGGAGGATCAATAACCCTAATGGAGGTGGGAAATCACAGAATCCCTAAGTGTGGAAGCAGGCCATTAGGTCCACACTGCCCCTCCAAGACAGCATCCTGCCCAGACCCACTCCTGCACCCTGTCCCTATAATCCTGCATCTCCCACAGCTAAGCCACCTAACCGACATATCCCTGAACGCTATGGGCAATTTAGCATGGCCAATCCAGCCTAACCTGCACACCTTTGGTCTGTGGGAGGAAACCGGAGCACCCAGAGGAAACCCACGTAGACATGGAGAGAATATGCAAACTCCACACAGACAGTCACCCGAGGGTGGAATCGAACCCAGGTCCCTGGCGCTGAGGCAGCAGTGCTAACCACTGAGCCACCGTGCCACCCTGTTATAGTCAGGAGCAAGTGGAGTAACAGCGTAGCAGGGTGTCTCTCGAAGTTACAATGGGAATTTGGCTGCCATGGTTTGCCCCTCATCTCGGTCAAGTGCACACTTTCATAGGCTGGAGGTGAGGTAAATGCAATTTGATTGAAAGGATGTTACGTGACATTGAACATTTTTCTGGAGATAGATGGCAGGGTATGGTTGCAAGGCAGTAACTGTATACATTGAAGATAACAAAAGTTCAAGCTAATTATATTCTCTGAACCCTCCGATGAATTTATCACCAGCCAATCTGTTAATGTCCGGTTCATCACGTTGTTAAGGTGAAGACAAACAGGCAATGTATATTCATTGTCTGAAAGACACAGACGTAGGGAGCAGATGTGACACAGGGTACGGAAAGAGAGGAGTAAGACTGAGGAAGTTAACAAACTCTCGCCTCAAAAAGCAAATGCATTTGTGTTGTTTTTTTCTGTTTCTCCACTTGGCTACAGATCTATGAACAGCAATAGCACAGGGTGGAACAGTGACACACAGTGGTTAGCCCACACAGCGCCAGGGACCCGGATTCAACTCTAATCTCGGGCGACTGCCTGTGGAGTTTGCACGTTCTCCACGTGTTGGCATGGGTTTCCTCTTGGTGCTCTGCTTTTCTACCACAGTCCAAAGATGCACAGGTTAGATGGATTGGTACACTAGGCCGAATGGGCCAGGGCTATTTTCCCTGGAGTGTCAAGAGACTGAGGGGTGACCTTATAGAGATGTATAAAATCATGGGGGGCATGGATAGGATGAATAGCCAAGGTCTTTTTCCGAGAGTAGGGGAATCCAAAACTTGAGGGCACAGGTTTAAGTGAGAGGGGAAAGATTTAAAAAGGACCTAAGGGGCAACAACTTCACACAGAGGGTGGTGCGTGTGTGGAACGATCAGCCAGAGGAGGTGGTGGAGGCTGGTACAATAGCAAGATTTAAAAGGAATCTGGATGGGTACATGAACAGGAAGGGTTTAGATGGATATGGGCCAAATGCTGGCAAATGGGACTGGATTAATTTCGGATATCTGGTCAGCATAGACAGGTTGGTCTGAAGGGTCTGTTTCAGTGCTGTACATCTCTACAACTCTGACCAAATAAACTGCTCCATTGTGTCCAGGGATGCTGGGGTAGGTGGATTAACAATAGGAACGGTGGGGTTACAGGGATGGGGACGGGGGGGTGGGGTGGGGTGGTCAGTGCAGACTCAATAGGCCAACTAGCCTCTAACTGCATTGTACGGATTCTAGGACAGCACAGGGCAGCTGCTTGAAGTGGAGACCAGGAACAAAGATTTCTTTCAGACAGAAAATTGTAATTGGAGTTATTTTGGAGAAGAATGGCTGAAGCCAAGTGCAAAGTGTCAGTGTATGATTTTCTACTGACTCCTTTTGAATTAAGTTCTTAAAAACAATGGAAAAATGAAGTGCAATGGTGGAGAAAAAGGGTAAAGGATTAATTTGGCACAATCATTTACTATGAGAGGCAAAATCAGATAAAATGTCTAGAGCTAAAGGCTTAATAATTGGACACTGAAGAAGATTTGGAGATTCTTTCAAAATTTATGAACAAACTTTATAAGAAAGATGACATATTAAATGTATGTGAGGCATTGTCAGACAGAGAAATTATAAAAACTGGATGGATATTCTACAGAACAATATATGCAAGATTGCTAACATTTTACTTAGCGATTCATAATTCACTGCTTGCCTTTACATTGTTGGGTCGGAAGTGTTAATAACGGATAGACTTTTAATATTAACTGGAGTTAGGTTTTCAGAAAAAAAGCACACTTTTGGAACAGATGTCATAAACCTTTAAAAAAAAAAGAAGGCTTGACGATAAGTATTAGTTTCCAGCAGCTTTCATGACATTCAACAGTAACACAAGAAATGGAGGATTCAATGGCACTGGCATTTTGAGATTGTCCTAAAAAGGGGATGCAAGTGTCAATTTGAAAGATAATCATACAGAGAGTGATAACAGAGGTACCTTCAGCAGTTGACAGACAACAAGAATTGGTGAATGAAAGAATGAAAAGAGCGGTTATTCCATGTAAAACAACTGGGATAAAGGACATAACTAACACAATTGTGTATGAAGTTGATTTTGAACGAGTCGTCCATGCAAAAGGCTCAAATGAAACTGGGTATGAAATATAGGCAACTGTTTTTGGCAAGTCATTCAGTTTTACAGTTTACCCAATCATAGACATTACTGTATTCTTTTCATCACACCACATCTCTCTAATCAAAATATGAAAGAAGTGTTAATGGTATTAGGGAATAGGAGCTAAAGTGTCAAGAAAAAGGGCTAACTATTTCAAAATAACATCAGCAGCTTGTCCATGTGTCTTATGACAGGTTCAAACCCCAACTGAAGGATGCAGGAGTAAAGGAAAACGAGTTCAGTAAATTTACAGAAGGGATTAATAATATGTAAAACAGAGGAGGATACATCATATATCTAGGGAGTCTAGGTAAGAGACTTTAGTGAAGTTGTAGCAATGGACTTGAAGGTATGGGATAAGAAAAGAAAAATTTTCATCTCGAACTTCGTAGACAAGGCAACTAAATTTCAATCAGGTTTAAATCAGTATACGATACTATATCTGAAAAGATAAAGCATGACCATCACCAAGATAATGAAGAGGCGGCTATGGACACTGCGGTGAGTAACTCACCTCCTGACTCTCCAAAGTCTGTCCACCATCTACAAGGCACAAATGTGATGGAATACTCCCCATTTGCCCTGATGAGAGGAGCTCTAGCAACACTTGAGAAACTTGACACCATCCAGGACAAAGCAGCCCACTTGATCAGCAACATATCAACAAGCATCCACTTCCTCCACCACCAACCCTCAATAGCAGCAATGTGTACTGTCTACAAGACGCACTGCAGAAAGTGCAGGGGCCTAGTTTCACGGTGCCAAAAAAGCAGACAACCTTTGACCGTGCTGCACTCAGAGGTGCAATTTGTATCAGCCTCAAGTCTACACTCTGGAGAGGGGCAAAATTAGCTGAGTTATATTGAGCCTGTCAGAAGGGGAAAGCTGTAAGGAATGAATGAGACAAACAGAACTGCATAACTTTCCAACTTATAAGCCTAGCTTTCCTGCACCACCCTGTATCCTCTGGTGTTCTGATGAGGCAGGGTGGAAGTGGCAGTATTGCTACTCAGTGACACTCTATGGGATGGTACAGTGGCTCAGTGGTTAGCACTGTTGCCTCACAGAGCCAGGGACACAAGTTTGATTCCAGCCTCAGGCGACTGTCTGCGTGGAGTTGAACATTCTCTCCATGTGTGCGTGGATTTCCTCCGAGTGCTCCAGTTTTCTCCCACAGTCCAAAGACGTGCAGGTTAGGTGGATTGGCCATGCTAAATTGTCAGTAGTTTCCAGGGACGTGTAGGTGGAGTAGCCATGGGAAAGCAGGGTCATGAGGATACAGTAGGTGGGGTGAGTCCATGTGGGTGCTCTTTAGAGGGGTGGCGTGGACTTGATGGGCTGAATGGCTTGCTTCCACACCGTAGGTGTTCAATGTTGGATCTCTCCCTTTCCCATTCCTTGATGCACAATTTAATACAGATAGTGTCAGGTCACAACAAAGACCTTTCAACTATATTTTTACCTTAAAGAAGCCTAGCAAAGGTTGGCTGTATGGCTGATGTCTATTATACTGTTCCAGCAGCTTCTCTAGGCTGATGGCCCGGTCCAGCTCAAGGCCTGATGTAGTGTCCCAAAGGAAGGCCACTTGTTCAACATTCTGTGGTAGGGGCAGGAGCAATAGTTGGAACCTGTGAGTTTTCACTTAAAAAAGAAAAATATCTAAACGAATCATAGTCAGGCAACACCGCACAAAGTGAGAAGTGGTGTGAGTATTAATCCCAATTCACTTACTGAAGTGCACACTACCTCTGTATTATTTTATAGACGAGAGGACTTGCTTTTATATGCATTCTACATGGAGCTTTTCCCAGAATAAAATCCATGCTTCCTTCATATGAAGCCACATCGGCAGCAAAGGAAGAGGTCATTACCGAAAGGTCTCATCCAAAAATATTAATAAAAAAAATAAAAAATATTTATGTTTGTATAGCACCTTAAACAACCACAGAACATCCCAAAGTATTTTTCAGCCAATGGAACACTCCTGAAGTTCAAGTGTTATTGTAACGGAGGAAATTTAGCAGTTTAGCTACCCACAGCAAACTCTCACAAACAACAACAACAACAATCTGATAATCAGATAAACTGTCTTTGCGATATTGTTGGAGGGATAAATATTGACCAGATCCTGGGGATAACCCCTGTTCTTCTTCCAAATAGTGCCATGAGACTTTCATGACCAAATGAGAGGGCATTGACTGGAGACTTCATCTGAAAGATGCCAACTCTGATGGAGCACACTCCCTCGGTTATACACTAAAGTGTCAGCGCTAATTTCTTCGTTATCATGTCTGGAGTAAAATTCAAATCGGTTTATAATCTGGATGGTCAGACAATGCAGGATAGACCTGGGTACAATCTTTATAAGAATTAATTTGAAGAGAATCGCATGACAAACGTGCATCTCCTCACCCGACAACTACATTTTCAGGCAAGTCCTAGTTATAGGGCTATAACTGAAGCTTCAAGGAATACCTACTGCCTGTATACAAGTAACAAAATCTGTTGCTTCAAACTGAACCAACACAGTAAGCTCAGACCTTGCAAGCTGGCAGTCCTGTGTGGCCAGCAGTGAGAGCAGGAGCAGGCGGCCTACAGCGTCAATGGGGGCGAGGTCAAACCCGGAGTGGGGGAGATCGAGTCCTTGTGAGGAGTGCGAGTCCCACATGGCTAGGCATTTATGGACTATGATGTTGAGCTGTTAACTGAAATTTTTTTATTTTTTTTTTTTTTTTTTAAAAACTTTTAGTAAGAAGAAAGTAATGTTTAACTTTTTAAACATAGTTACAAAGCAGAAAATAAGGAAAACAAACATTCCATATCTAGGTACTTTTGTACCCAAGATGGTGCCATAAGTGGCGACATGTAAACCTTTCACTGCACTTGTGAAGACATGACAATAATCCTAATTCAGTAATAATATAGTAATTAGAGCCATGGATCTTATCAGCTCAGAAGGAGGCTAAATAAAATGTTCTTCCTTTTATTCAGTCATTCAAACTGCGCCGATTATTTGTAGGGTAGTCAAAAACTATTCTCATTTCTCCGTTCTCCCTCAGCAGAAATCTATCTTTTTCTGCTTCCTCAAAGCCTTTCTAGGCTACATCAACTATCAAACCAATGGAACTAAGCTGTTGTGAAGACAGCAGAAGGAAGGTAACGCACAACATGGCATGTACAAGTTTCTCTGCACCTCCACTCACACACTCTCGGACAATTTTAGATCGATAACTCCTTGTCACAGCCTCCTCCGTCAGAGGATAAAATACAGTGTATCCCTATGTGTTTGGAACTTTATCCCCGATTTGTACTTCTTGAGTAAACATCTATCGAGTGAGATATTTCTACAAAGTCCATAAAAGTATTGGATTAACACGCATGGAATTTCACTGGACAGAAAGGGGCTCTTTCCCATGCTACCTCTCAAAGCGAAATCTCTTTAGGTCCACTGTCCTGCCATTTCCTCATACACTTAAATTTTTATTTTTCCAAACAATGAATCCACTTCCCTTTCCAAAATTAACTACTGCAGTTTTGTTTCTATTCCTACTGTATAAGATTTTCCACCTCTCGCATTACAGTGTATTTCATAGACAGGTTCTCCCAGCTTTGGTTGAAAATTACTAGATCCTTGGGGAGCAATTGTTCCACTTGATCGTCAGGATTTCTGCTGATTTGCCACTGAAGATATAGCAGGAGATCAAGAGAACACAGAAGAACTTTTTCTCCTGTTATTCTAAGTCCAGCTGAACTAAAGATTTACACCTGCTTAGACATCTCTTCTGTCTTTGTATTTTATACTAAGCCTTAAATTTCTATCTTAGTGTACCGATTGTTGTTGAATCAGACATTTTGCCATCCTACTTCTGTAATCTCCTCCAGTCCACAATCCTCTAAAGATCAATTCCACCTGTCATGCATTCCTGAATGTAGGTGCTGTGAAATGCCTTCAATCCCCAAAGCCTTAGGCTCTGAAATTCCCCTGTAAACCTTTCCTTATTAAGGTTCCCCTTACAACCTACTTTTTAACTAAACATTTGGTCATCTATATGTTTGAGTGGACTGGTGTGAAATTTTGTGGACTAACACTCCTGTCAGGCACCTTGCATTGTTTTATGCTATTACAGGCATAATTTCAAATTCGTTTCAGGCAGATTCGATAATTTATTAAATACGTTTGCTTGTGAACATACCCGTTTTTCTTGTCCTAGTGAGGTATCTAATGCAACATATTTCCACTTGCCACGGTCTCCTTTCCATTCTTGCACTGTAGCAATAGTCGGTTTCTCAAGCTCCAGGCATATCTGGGGAAATGAAGCATTGGAGAAGGTAATAACGTGAACGTGCTGAGCTGGTGTCCTCGATCAGTGAAACTGTTGAAGGGCACAGCAACCTGACTGGTGAAGAAGAAAGTTATATTGGTGGGGCTCCTATGACAAACATGTCAAAACACAGTTCACACAGATTCTATAGTGATTGTAATGAGATCAGCCAGGGGGACCTCATAGAATGGGTTCCCTGATTGGGACTGTTAAGCTGGTCCAATCAGAGAGCCCTGGCTGTCAGATATAAACAGAAGCGTCAGGGGGTCTGTTCGCTCTGAGGAAGCCGGATCAGTGTCAAGTACTATGCACGTGTAAATAAAAGGTGACTTGGTGACGAGATACCAGCCTCTGTGGAATTATTTCAGATTCATTTCAAGTTGAGTCTCTGTCTTAATAGTCAAACATAACTATCATTTTCCACACTGCAAGTTGCCACAGCAGTGAAATGAACAACCCCGAATTTCCTGATTTAAGGAAGGAATGTTCACTGGTTCACTGGAGAACACAGGGCTCAAATCAGGCTGTGATCTAACATTCACCCTAGAGGCCATGTGAGTTCTTGGTTTGACTTGTCATCCAGGAGCGGGATCTCCAGCCACACAGAGCATATTAATGCTACAAGGTGTCAGCCCAGGTTATATACTCAAGACTGTCAATTACCTCAGACAAACTGACAAATGACAACCCATTAAATTCCTCCTGTTTAAACACCAGCAGGTGATAATGCACCAAATCCCCCCCATCTAAAACACCGACAGATCCAGATAGTTCCTGGTTACTCCTGATGATAGTACTTGTTGTAGGTCAGGGAGAGATTATTTTCTCTGCTTCCTTCATTCCATTCCTGCAGCTCACAGCAATGAGGTTGGACATAAACTTGTCCAAGGCTTTCACCATTCATGCTTTGTAACCAGTCACAATGGTTAAAGGTCAAGTCGGTGGAAATACCCAACAAATGGTCTAAGCCTGGTCATTCCTGCTGCTTCATAGTGGACGTACTTAGGCTCCATTGACTGGTAGCCAGGCTTCTATCCACCGTACAGTAAATCAAAAATGTCACTGAGGTTTGTTGGCTTCAGGCACCACTACATTGCGGCATCATGTCAGAGAATCACAGAATGAAACTAGCATTCGAGCAGGCCATTCATCCCGTCATGTTGGTCCTAGCTCTCTGTAAGCTATCAAGTTGGTCCCACTTCTCATCTTTTCCCTGCAGTCCTGCTCTTCAGGTAATTATCTAATTTCTTTCAAAGGCAAACGGCTGACTCTGCCTCCAGCGCATTGTCAGGTACTGCTTTCCAGATCCTAGCCACTCGCTGCACAAGAATGTTTTTCCTCTTGTTGCCTCTGGCTCTTTTGCCAACAACCTTAAATCAGAGCCTACTAGTTTTCAATCCTCCCATCAATGAGAACTGTTTCTCTGCATTTGTTCAAATGATTCTTGCCATGGTGCCCTTTTAAGGGATAGTTAATTCATTGATTTGGTGTACCCAGGTCTCTCCTCTCCTACACTCACTTTAAAATTGTACCCTTTAACTTGTTTTTCCTGTTTTACCTTGTTTGACTTTTGAGTGCATTCATAAATTTCATGAACAGAGCTAGCCTCAACTGAAACTTCAATTGTACACAACAGACACATCGGTCAGCATCCTCTGTGTACAGTTGTTGTTCATCTTTAAAATGGGCCAAAGTTGTTTGGAAACAAAGAACTGCCAAAGAAACCATGAACATAGCCTGAGTAGGCCCGCAAGGGGTCCAGTGAACTGGCGTCTGTCTGTGGAACAGACTGACAAAGAATTCCTGCATCTACCTCCCTCAGCACACCACTCACTCCCAGGCAGCCTGCTGGGCTGGGGTTATGGACAATACCTCATTAATTAGGAGGATGCTGAAAAAGGAAGTGCTGGAAAATTTGATGTTAGATCAGGGAGGTACTTGAGAGCAATGGCTCCCGATGACTGTACAGGAAGGAGCTCTCCAGGTTTCCGTGCGCCCCTCATCGTGTTTGCTCTTTAAGCACCGATAAGCTCAGAGTCTTTATTGGTTACGCAGATTGCCCTCTCTGGCATCCTTCGTGTCTTGGTCTGTAAACAGATGGCCCCACGCTGTACAATCACATGGGCCAAGGTGGTTCTGGCTTTGATGTTTGGTTTGTACAGAATTTGGGGATTCCAGGCACCTTGGCTGTAATTTGCTGAGACTGACCGTGGTTTTCCTCATCTATGGAGAGCTCCTGGTCAGTTGCCAAAATCCTGCTGAGGATATGTCGGCATTGACCACCATTCCAGACATGGATGTAACTTCCCCTCATGACAACGGATGGTCTGCCTCACAACAAACGGTCCATTTGGGCTCAGTTTGCTTGGGGAATGGTATCTCCCTTCTAGCAGTTCGAAGTGGTATCAACGGAGTCACATAATGGAGGTTACTTTATTGCTTCAGGGACATATTGGGAGCACAGATCAGGATGACTTTGCATTCTGGTTGCAGGCTAAAAAATTACAGACTAGGCTTACAGAATTTCCTCTTAGAATCCCTACAGTGTGGAAGCAGGCCATTCAGCCCATTGAGTCCACACTGACCCTCTAATGAGCATCCCCCCCAACCCTCTAATTTCACATTTCCCATGGCTAACCTACCTGGCTTGCGCACCCCTGGACATTATAGGCAATCTAACATGGCCAATTCACCCAACCTGCACATCTTTGGACTCTGGGAGGATACCCATGGGGAGAACATACAAACTCCACACAGTTGCCCAAGGCTGTAATTGAACCTGGGACCCCGCTACTGTGAGGCAGTAGTGCTAACCACTGAGCCACTGAGCTGCCCAATAAATTGGCAGAATACATAAACTCTTATTCACTGACTGGGAATCAAACCCAGACTGCGATGGTGGAAATGCCAAATCCTAACCACTAGACCGCCAGGGAAGGTGGTAAGTGGAAGGTTCCCTATCTGCACTCTCAGGCATAGGGAATTCTAAAGCAAATGATCCACGCTTGACCCTCTCCCTTTCTGAATCAGATTGAAATATTTACAGGAAAGGCTGCAGCTTTGGGTCCCACTGCAGCCAGGAATAACTGTAGGAGAACATAAAAGCAGCAACATGCTCCTATGACAGACAACAGTCCAGTTCACAAATATTCCAAGGCATGATAAACATTCACATCTGTATTTAGCATGGGCCTGTGTTGCAGATATATGCTTGAAAAATGATACATGCTTGGAATCCAATTAATCATAAAGGAGAGAGTCCACTTTCAGGGACGAGGTTGAATAAACTGCATACCTATCATATACTGCGACAAGGGAGTAACATGGGGTTAACTAAACTATTGCAGCTCTTAGGCCCCTGGTGCAAAAGGTCAAAAGAACCAAAATGTATTCTAACTGAAATTTAAAATGAAAGGAATGTGCAACTAATGTGGTCGTTACAGAGAGTTTGCATTAATCACAGCAGGAGAACATGTTAAACTGGAAAAACTCATTCAATCTATCAATGTCTCTATTTCTACTTTGTTACTCACACAACTATTTCATCTTTTTGAGAGAATGTTCTGTTAGAAAGGCTCACTAATGTCCAAATTTCTTGGTTTTGGGTCCACTTAATGCATACCCTCTGGATTCCCAGATTTATAAACTCTCAGTCTGTCCCATAGGCTTGTAGAAATCTCAAGTTTCTGACGTGAAAAGGTTGATGAATAAAAAGTTCTAAAAATCTGTTTTCTTTTGTTTTGTGGTCCCAAGGAGAAGTAGGAGTAACAAAAGGACCCATCCAATGAAGAATGCTTTTGAGCCCTCTCACCAACTACTTCTGCCTCTGAATTGCTTCTCCTTCACTCATTCCTGCCCGATTGCCTCAATCCCACATTGAGGTTACCTGTCCGCCAGCACAAGATGTAATCATTCCTCCACACTGTGCCACACTGAGTTACCTCACTATCCTCCATTCTGCATCTCTCCAACCCCAGTATTCTCCCCAGAACTGAACACCCCCACCCCCAACAGATTGTCTTCCTTCCCCACTTCCAGATTCCCTTCCTTCTCTCTCAGCCCAAGCTTGGTGACCACTTTAGGTCATTAGATTCATTTGTCAGCCTCCCACAACAGGCATATTGCAGTGAGGCCTCCAATTCAAACAAAGCCTAACCCTATGGTTTGGGCCTCCTGAGCTGCTATCAACTAACACCTTGGATCTCTTGAATTCCCTTTTTTTTTTGTTTGATTTATGGGAATAATAATTTTGACAGTTCTGAAACTAGACTAAATGCACTTTATGAATAAACCGCTCAAATGTGCGAGGGGTGAGTGAACTGCCCGTCTCCCGAGTCCCAACTTGGAGTTGTCACGTGTTATCTCTGTCACAGTTTTTCCAGAGATTGGCCATTGTAGGCTTCAAATGGAAAATGCTGGAAATATTCAGTAGGTCAAAGTTTGTAGTGCTACTCATAACTATGACTTGCTAACCCCAAAATATCAGGAATACTTGACTGGAATGTCATTTCTTGGAGACTACCACTGATACAGAAATGCCTTGAATGGAAAATGTCCCACAATGTTGCTGTTATCTTGTGTAATGCGGCAGAAACCATAGAGGAACGAGCCCAATGTAAAATGTCAATGCAGAAATTACTCAGTGGAAAATTCCCCTTTAGACTGAATAACATGTTGGGAGTATTTCCATACATGAGATTCCAGGAGAGAGGCACTTCAGTCATTTAGATAGATTGGAGACCCTAGGACAGTTTTTCCTGAGGAAGAGAAGGTTAATGGGAGATGTGATAGCATGAGACCACTGAAGGGACTAGACAGGGAAAAACTGTTCCCATTGGTGGCTCCTGCTGCTGCAGGAACGCTTGTTTCAAGATAACTGGCAAAAGCAGAAATGGACACCTGAGGAAAAGCTTTTTCTCAAAGCGAGTGGTTAAGTTCCGGAATGCACTGACTGAGACTACTAAATATTTCCAGCATTTTCCAGATATAGGTTCTATCAGGGCTGTCGGGAAGGAATTGAATTATCATCTTAAAAGAATGGCTGAATGGTCTCTCACAGTTTCCATACTGTACATTATATATTTATGTATTTCATATAAAATATAAAATTCAATAGAAAAACAAGCGGGGAGTTACCTTTTCCAAAGCATCTTCATGCAGTATCTCCTGCACCGCCAATAACTTAATCCTGCAAAAGACACAATCTGATATCAGTCACTTTACCTCAAGGCTAAGTGAAGATTTCCCGTTTCCATGGAGGTAAGACCGGGAGCAGAACTACAGAATCTTACATTGTTGGAGGATGGGGGTGGTGGGAGAGAGAACCTGAACTCTGCAATCTGCCTGTTTACAACTTTGGCCAAGGCAGATTCTGACTGGCACCAGTAATCCATCCAGTGGTGCTCAGCTAATTAGGCTTCATTATGCTCTCAGATAGAGTCAAATTGGTGGCGCCACCAGAATCCTCACAACTGCAAATGATTGCCCCCGACCACATCCGACCCCACAAACCACTGAAGCTGAAGCTCAGAACTGGTTTTCCCTACAACGTCACTTAATTCCAACACCAGCCCAAAGCCCACCCACTCCTCCCCCACCCCCTCTTCACACAGAGGTGTGTGTATCACAGGGCCCATTAAAGGTCCCTCCACATTGTGACCACCTCTGCCTGACAATCATTTTATTTGACAGTGTTGTCAAAGGGCATTTTTGGAAGTGCCCACCTCACCAGCCAGTCATCATGACCGGCCCTCTGACCTGGTCTCCCAATTCCGCTGCCATCATTAATCAGGCATGGCTCCTGGTGGCAGCTTTGTACCTGGTGGCCTCCTGGATGACTGAGATTGACACCCCATTTGGCCAATTTCTGGGGTTCCCAACCTGGGGATTGAAGTCACTGTCATGATCCTGGACCTAATTTGGAAAACCCAGCCCCAACTAAATCTCTTGATAAGGAAGCATCAATGAGATTATACACAGAACAGGCAATTTGAATCATTGGTGAATGCCAGCAGTCATGCTATACACGAGTCTCCTCTCATTCTAGTTCATTTAATATGAATTACTTGGACAATGGGCCTGAATGTATTGTTGCTGAAATTGAGACAAAAGTATGTAGGAAAGAGGACATTAGGCAGCCATGAAGGAATATAGATGAGGTTAAAGTTAGTAAGTGAGCAAAGACCTGGCAAATAGAGTATATTGTAGGAAAATGTGAAAGTGACCATTGTAGCAAGCAGAGAAAAAACACATGGCGAGATGGTGAGAGATTACAGAGCTCTGAGATGGAGAAGGATCTGGTTGTCTTACGCATGATTTGCAGAAGGTTAGTACATTGGTACAGCACATAATTAGGACAGCTAATAGCAAGTTATTGCTTATTGAGAGGTAAATTGAATGCACAAGGAGGGAGGTAATGCTTCAATTATACAGGGCAATGACAGGGCCATATCTGGAGTACTATTCATTTTCTTATTTAAGGAATGATACAAACATACTGGAAGCAGTTCAGAGAAGGTTTACTAGATTAACATGGAATGGGCAGGTTGTCTCATGGACAAACGTTGCAGAGGCAGGCTGGTATCTGCTGGAGTTTATAGGAGTAAGAGGTGACTTTGTTGAAACGCAAGAACCCGAGAGGTCTTGACTGGCTCAACGTGGACATCATGTTTCCTCATGTGGGAGAATCCGGAACTGGGTGTCACATCCTTACCTAAAAATAAATGATCAGGAGCAACTTTGTTCTCATGTGACATTGGAATGATCTTCCCTAAAAGGCAATAGAAACAGAGTCTATGTACATTTGTAAGGCAGTGGTATATAGATTTTGGATAAGAAATGGGAGAAAGAATATCAGAGAAGACAGGAATGTGGACTAATCAGATCAGCCTTGATCCTATTGAATTGTGGAGCAGACTCAAGAGGGAAAAACATCTACTTCTGCTCCTCATTCATATGGTTAATCTTACCAACAAAAACGTCTGTCCCTTTCCTTCTCATTTATTCATTCAGCTTCCCCTCAAATGCATCTCCTTTTACTTTAGTTTGACTGTTGTTTACGAGATAACCATACCCAGGGACAATCTGGAGAGCAAAACTAAATTTTATTTGGGAAAGTATGTAGAGACAGAAGTCAGTAAACAAGAGAAAAGAAACAAAAAGAATGGTTGATCAAGTAGTCATTTGATTATACAGAACAAGAGTATTGCTGAAAACAAGACCTTTTTATTCAAACTTTTCATTTACACTCAATCTGTCTGTTTTTGCCTTAAAACCATTCAACGACGTAGCCTCAACTGCCTCACTGCGAATTCCACAGATTCACAACCCTTTGGGTAAATAAGTTCTTCCTCAACTCAGTCCTAATCTGCTCCCCCTTATTCGGAGGTTATGTCCCCCTAGTTCTAGTTTCATCTGCCAGTGGAAACAATTTCACTGCTCCCATCTTAACTATACCCTTCATGATTTTGTATGTTTCTATAAGATCCTCCCCTCCTCCTCATTCTTCTAAATTCCAATGAGTATAGTTCCAGCCTATTCAATTTCTTCTCATAAGACTTGCTGGGTGACCTCAGAGTCAGCCATGTTGAATGTGGAGATGAAACCAGACCAGATTTGACCAGCAGGTCTCTTTCGCTAAAGGACTCTTGTGAATAATTCGGGTATTCATGACCTCCTGACAGCTACACAACTCCATTTCCTGAGCTAGGGTCACTCTTCCAGATTCTCTCTCAAACTGAGCTCAAATTCCACACTGCCAATTCTGCTTCTCTGAGTTAAGCAACTACGTTATGGTACGCTTAGTCCATTCAGGTGAAGCCTTCTGGAAATTCCAAACAGAGACCTGGAGGAAAATGATGCATTTAAGGGGAATACAAATACACACCTAGTGGACAAGAATTGTTTAGGTTAGGCTGATTGGGCGAGATGAAGAATGGGAAGGGAGGCCAGGAGGATCAACTCTAGAGGGTTTGAGTTATAAGGAGGGGCTGGGTAGGCTGGAACATTTTTCCCTGCAGCGTTGGAGGCTGATGGATGACCATTTAGAGGTTTATAAAAATCATGAGGGGCATAGATAAGGTAAATAAACAAGGTCATTTCCCCAGGGTAGGGGAGTCCAAAACTAGGGGGCATAGGTTTAAGGTGAGAGGGAAAAGATTTAAAGGGGACCGGAGGGGCAACTTTTTCACACAGAGGGTGGTGCATATATAGAACGAGCTGCCGGAGGAAGTGGTACAGGCGGGTACAATTACAACACTTAAAAGAAATCTGGATGGGTACTCGGATAGGGAAAAGATTTAGAAGGATATGGGCCAAATACAGGCAAATGGGACTAGTTCAGTTTAGGAAACCCGGTCGGCATGGACAAGTTGGGCCGAAGGGTCCGTTTCCATGCCGTACGACCAGTTGGATAAAATCATCAGAACTAATGTAACTCTATAAATGAGAGAAGTTGTGACAAACCCATTCTCAAGCAGCGTCAAGCAGATGACTTCCCTCACTCCTGGATTGTTGACCTTGTCCAACGTGAGGCTCTGTAGGTTCCAAGTGCCGATACGGATTACCTTCCTCCCATCAAAAATCCCAGTGAAGGCCTCAGCTGGGTTCCTAACTGAAGTGAACCGATCACAAACACCATGGTTCAAGTTGAGGTCCTGCAAGCTGTAATAAGAGGACATTTGATTGGGCCTGTCCCCCAACCGGGTGCATGAATAGGAGGAGACCGGTCTGGGAAGGGAGACGCTGAGTTTCGATCTGATCGCACCCAGCAAAGACACATCAACCCCATCCACCTGAAGCAAATCATCGACACGTTTGAAAGGTCCATACAGGGTGCGGTAATGGACAATACTCTCGGCGAGATCTTGCGCGATCCCCAGCGATGCCGCGAGCTGTTTCTCCGAGGCGACGTTGACGTTCAACTGGGTGGAAGACAGCAGATCGAAACTCGACAAGTTCCCTGTGGACTGAGAGGAGCCCCGGCTGCTCACACAGATCTCAGGCCGGATCTGTTGGAGCCTCGCAGCCCCTACTCCCGGCGCCAAAGCCATGTCCTCGACTTTGCGGAAGCCCCCAATCTTGTGCCGGTAAACCACGATGTTGTGCGCCAGAGTCCTGCTGATGCCCTGTAGCGTCATCAGCTCTTCCTCGGTGGCCGTGTTGATGTTGACCCGACAGCAGGACGCGTCTGCAAAGCTCCATGTCTCGCTGAGGTACGGCCCTCGGTGCTGCTTTCGGCCCTTCAGGTGCGAGGGTCTCGGCTCACACTGCGGCTGGTGGCGGCTCAAGTGGTAGCCCATTTCACTTTGTCTTCCTGGAGGAGAAATTCACTGTCATTTGTTTACATCCACCAACAGCAAGCACAGAACTCATTAAATTAGACCATTCCAAAAGCACCACAACAACTTTGGTTATATCAAAGGCATTGCTGGACCTGGGATCAGACAGGGGGAAAATGAAAAGCTGCCAATAATCAGTGGACAGATTATGCACGTACTCCCTCCCATTATAAACAGCGAGGTATCAGGCACAGGTTCTCTAAAGCAGCGGAAAGTGACTGATCCATCTCAACATTATTAATCCAGAGACCTGGGTAATGCTCTGCGGATCCAGGTGCGAATCCTGCCATGGCAGATGGTGGAATTTACAAGTAAGAAAAATCTGGAATTAAGAGTCTAATGGTGACCATTGTCCGATTGTTGGAAAAGCCCATCTGGTTCGCTAATGTCCTTTAGGGAAGGAAACTGCCATCTTTACCTAGCCTCGTCAACAAGGGACTCGAGACCCACAGCAATGTGGTCGAATCTTAACTGCCCAGGAAGGCTTTAGAGTGCCTTTTTTCTTAATTATCATGTATGTGATGAGGGCTTCACCGTCTAGGCCAGCATTTATTACCCAGAGGGCAGTCATGAGTGCATTGAGTATACGAGTTAGGATGTCATGTTGTGTTTGTATATAACACTTTTAGAATACTGCTTTCAATTCTGATCTCCCTGCTGTAGGAAAGATGCTGTGAAACTTGAAAGGGTTCAGAAAAGATTTAAAAGGATGTTGCTGGGATTTGGGGTTTTTGAGCTATAGGGAGAGGCTGAACAGGCTGGGGCTTTTTGCCCTGGAGCGTCAGAGGCTGAGGGGGTGACTTTATAGACGTTTATAAAATCAAGAGGGGCATGGATAGGATGAATAGCCAAGGGGTTTTTCCCAGGGTAGGTGAGTTCAAAACTAGAGGGCATAGGCTTAAGATGAGAGGGAAAGATTTAAAATGGACCTGAAGGACAACATTTTCTTACAAAGGGTGGTGCGTGTATGGAATGAGCTGCCAGAGGTGGTGGTGGATGTGGGTATGATTACAACATTTAGAAGACATCTGGATGAGTACGTAATAGGAAGGGTTTAGAGACATATGGGCCAAATGCTAGCAAATGGGACTAGATTAATTTAGAATGGTCAGCATGGACGAGTTGGACTGAAGAGTCTGTTTCCATGCTGTACGTATCTATGACTCTATGAAGTCAATGAGTCAGAAGAGTTTATATAGTCAATTAGTGTCATGCTTATTAAGCAGACTAGCATTTTATTTCAGACATATTAATAAATTGAAATTTAAATTTCCTTGTTATAGTGGGATTTGAACTCATATCTGTGGAGTATTCAGGTTATGGATTGCTAGCACAGTAACATTGACACTGTCCCATCATTGACCCTCTGGTGTTCATTCCCAACATGCCACTTGAATAGAAAACTAGAATGACTTGAAATTGTGGTTTGCATTGATTTTTCACGTTTGATACATCAATAAGCACCAGGATTGAGCAGGGGCTTGGGGTGGAGTGTCCAAAAATGGAGGTCTACAAAGATTAAGAGTTAAACATGGAGCAAATTAAAACAAAATAAAAATCAAGCACAGGGTAGAAAAGGCCTTTTGCTACAATTAGAGACTGGAGTCTTAACAAATCAACTCTGAAATTGGAGCTCTCCTGTTATCTCCCCCACCCTACCGCTTCCAGTTGAACAGTTTGCAGGTTAAACCCGGAAGAGACAAGCCCTTAACAATAGGCGGTGTGAAATTAAGACTGTAGTTGGTCTCAGGGGCATGGTTTTGCTCCTATTGGATGCACTCTCATGTTGACAGTTGGATTAATAATCTTGGTGCCCTGTTAGAGAGAAGAATTGGAAGCCCTCCACACTCACTCAATCACCTGCCACTCCTCTGATGCACTCAAATACAAACCCAGAGAAAGAAATAGCCAAGTAGTACGTTGACATCCCACATTAACAGTAATATTTTGGTGCAACAGTTACAAGTGATTTGTTCATAAACCCATGCATTAATTAACCTTTCCACATCAGCCAAATCCAGGCAACCAATCTGAAGAGCCAAAAAACAGTGGATCAAATCAAACGACGATTCATTCCATTTCTAAACAAATGTTTAGTTTGGTGAAGGTCTATCTCTTGATTTTTTTCCCCCTACTTCATTTAAAATTGTTGTTAATACACCAAACACTCCCCACCACATTAAAGCAAATACTGTGGATGCTGGAGATCTGAAATAAAAACAAAGTACTGGAGAAACTCAGTAAGTCTGGTGGCATCTGCGCAGAGGGAAACAAATTGAATGGTTTGAGTCCAATGTCTCTTCTTCAGAACTGAAAGGGGCTAAATGATGGGTTTTTTGTTGTTGTTGGCAAAGGGGAGGTACAGTGTTTGGAACAGTCAGTCCAGAGCAAAAGATAAAATTGAGTGCTAACAGTAGTAAAGGAGTGATATCAATACATAATAGGTGTTAATGAAAGGTGTCAATAGTCAAAAATTGGTTGGCTTTGTTAAGAATCCGTGCAAACAAAATGCTGGGGAGGGGCAGATGTAATTAAATGGAGGACAGTATTCCCGGTTGGAAGCTGTTGAACTCAATGTTGAGTCCTGAAGGCTGTAAAGTGCCTAAACAGAAAATAAGGTGATGTTCCTCTGGCTTGTGTTGGGCTTTAGTGAAACACCAAGGCAGGACTGCGACGGAAGCCATTGCACGACATCAACATGATGCATTGAAATGGCAATCAACAGGAAAGTTGGGGTCATTCTTAGGGACAGAGTTGCGGGTGTTTGGCGAAACAGTTACACAGTCTGTAAAGAAGACCATAGTGTGAGCAGCAAATGCAGTAGATTAGATTCAAATAAGTATAAATAAATTGCTGTTTCACTTAGATGATGTGTTTGGGGCCTTAGGCAGTAGAGACGGAAGAGGTGAAAGGCAAGTGTTACTCCTTCTGTGATTGCAAGGTAAGGTGCTATAGAGCTGGGGAAGGGGTTGAGGAAGTACTAAGGAGTGACAGACGGGTAGACCAGGGTGTCACGGAGGGAGCGGTCAAACAAAATGCTGATAAGCGAGGGGAGGGGAAGATGTGTTTGGTGGTTGCAAGCTGTTGGATTTGGTCGAAATAGTGGAGAATGATCTTTAGAAAATGGAGAACGTGGGGCAGAAAGCGAGAACAACTGAATAACTCTCATTGTTCTAGGAAGGTGTCAGGGCCCAAATGTTAGAAATGGCTCAGGAATCATGGAGCCCTTTGTCTTCAGTTGAAGTAAAAGGAGGACATGTTGGAGGTACACATGTTGGAAGTAACATCTTTTGGAACAGATGTGGCAGAGATGGAGAAACTGGGAGAATGAATAGGATTTCTTGTTGAAAGCAGTGGATGTGGACATGCAGTCAGGGCAACTGTGGGAATTGGTGGGTTTCTAATGGATATCAGTGGCCAGCCTATCCACAGAAATGGAAACAGAGAAGTCAGGAAGGGATGGGAAGAATCAGAGATGGACCAGGTGAAGGTGAGGGAAGGATGGAAATTTGAAGTAAAACAATTTATTCAATTTTCAGACAACAGCAGGAAACAGCAAAGATAATGGCATCTATGTACTGAAGACAGAGTTGTCAGTTGGGCTTGGAAAGAGAAACTTTCCAGATACCCCACAAAGAGACAGGCACAACCACGATCCATATGGGTAGTCATAGCTACACGTGTCTTGGAGAAAGTGAGATGAGTTGAAGGAGAAACTGTTCAAAGTGAGTACAGGCTCAGGTATTGAAGAGGATGGTGGATGGAGACTGTAGACCTCCTCTCAAGGAAGGAAGAAAGCCTTCAGACCATCCAGATGGATGCACGTCCACGGTGAAGGGACAGTGGCTGGGGCCAGGAAGGTGGAATATGTGGCATTGAAGTAAACCGTCAAAAGGATCACAAACATAACCAGGGAGAAATTGAACAAGGAAGTCAAGATAGGAAGAAATAAGTTCAAATGGAGCAGGAACCATGAGAAATGATTGGTCTACCAGGGAAGTCCCGTTTTTGGATTTTGGGAAGGAGGTAGAAGCGGGCTGTGCGTTGTTGAGGGGCTGAGGTGGAAGGAAGACCTTCAAAGAAGATAAGGTCCATGGCAGCTCTGGAAACAACAGCTTGACGTTCAATGGTGGGGTCATGATCTGCAGGGGGAGACAAGAGGAAGTGTGAGAGTGTTAGCTCTCAGCATTGGCAAGGTGGAGGGCAGTGTGCCAGATGACAACAGCACCATCCTTATCAGTAGGTTTGAACACAATGTCAAGTTTAAAACTGAGAGAATAAAAGAAAGTTCACAGAGAGGCAGATTACAGTGTGTGATGGGAGCAGAAAAAAAAAGACAGCCAATATCACATTGACAATTCTTGATGAAGAGATCTAGCTAAAAGGCCCAGGGAAGGGGTCCAGGTGGAGAGGGAATGATTACAGAGGGGTGGAAAGGTCTGCCGAACAAGGAGAAGGCTCCTGTTGAAAGAAGTGGGTACAGAGGCAAAGGTGATGGAAGAACAGTTCAATATTATACTGTGTCTGAAATACACAGAGGCGGGGACACAGAACTGAATCCTTTCCTGAGCGCGGACCATTCAGCATCAGAGCGCAGAAGATTAGAGAACTCCTCTGCACATGTTCAGTTAGGCACATGTTTTTAAAAAGACAGTATAATTTCAAACACCTTTCTTCTGTTTTGGGGAATAGTGGGAAGGTAGTCATTATCAACCTAATGAATCAGGTCATGGACAACCCTTCCACGTGGAGCATGTCTTAGGATATGGGGCTTGAGCTTCGAGTTTCACAAGTTCCTGTGGGCTGTGCTGTGCTGCTATTACAGTATAATGAGATCCTCCCAGTCATTGTGTTGGCTAACAACTTGCCGGCCTTGGTTAGATGGCTGTGTCTCAAATGTTAACCAGGCGGCTAGGAGTCTAGGCTGGAATTCTTTCCTTTTCTCTGCTGTGGAACCACTACCACCATGTGAACA